AATATTTATATAAAATGAACTGATCATCATGAAAGCTTATAATTTGGTATAAACCAACCTTAAACGTTCCTTTATAACCTCAAAAAGTTTCATTTCATAATTCCTGGCCGTTTTGTAAAAATCAATTTTTATATATAATCCCAATTTAAAAAAAAGTCATTTTCAAAAATTTTTATTAAAGGAACTGTTCATCCGGGAAACTTCAAATTTGGTAACATATAACTCCTAACCCTTCTTTATAACCTCAAAAAGTTTCAATTCTTAATTCCTAACTATTTTGGAGAAACGAATTTTTTTTTAATATCATATTCAAAAAACGTGAAATTTAATGTGATAATAAAAAATCTATATATAAAATTAACTGATCATCATAGAAGCTTATAATTTGGTATAAACTAACCTCAAACATTCCTTTATAACCTCAAAAAGTTTTATTTTATAATTCCTAGCCGTTTTGGAGAAATCAATTTTTATATATAATCCCAATTTCAATAAACGTCATTTTCAAAATTTTTTATTACAAAAACTGTTCATCCGGGAAACTTCAAATTTAGTAACATCTAAGTCCTAACCCTTCTTTATAACCTCAAAAAGTTTCAATTCTTAATTCCTTACTATTTTGGAGAAAACAATTTTTTTTTAATATCACATTTAAAAAAAGTGAAATTTAATGTGATAATAAAAAATCTATATATAAAATTAACTGATCATCATAGAAGCTTATAATTTAGTATAAACTAACCTCAAACGTTCCTTTATAACCTCAAAAAGTTTCATTTTATAATTCCTAGCCGTTTTGAAGAAATCAATTTTTATACATAATCCCAATTTCAATAAATGTCATTTTCAAAATTTTTTATTAAAAAAACTGTTCATCCGGGAAACTTCAAATTTGGTAACATCTAAGTCGTAACCCTTCTTTATAACCTCAAAAAGTTTGAATTCTTAATTCCTAACTATTTTGGAGAAAACAATTTTTTTTTAATATCACATTTAAAAAACGTGAAATTTAATGTGATAATAAAAAATCTATATATAAAATTAACTGATCATCATGGAAGCTTATAATTTGGTGTAAACTAACCTCAAACGTTCCTTTATAACCTCAAAAAGTTTTATTTTATAATTCCTAGCCGTTTAGGAGAAATCAATTTTTATATTTAATCCCAATTTTAATATGAGTCATTTTCAAAATTTTTTATTAAAAAAACTGTTTATTCGGGAAACTTCAAATTTGATAACATCTAAGTCCTAACCCTTCTTTCTAACCTCAAAAAGTTTCAATTCTTAATTCCTAACAATTTTGGAGAAAACAATTTTTTTTTAATATAACATTTAAAAAAAAATTAAATTTAATGTGATAATAAAAAATCTATATATAAAATTGACTGATCATTATGGAAGCTTATAATTTGGTATAAACCAATCTCAAACGTTCCTTTATAACCTCAAAAAGTTTAATTTCATAATTCCTAGCCGTTTTGGAGAAATCAATTTTTATATATTATCCCAATTTCAATAAACGTCATTTTCAAAATTTTTTGTTACAAAAACTGTTCATCGGGGAAACTTCAAATTTGGTAACATATAAGTCCTAACCCTTCTTTATAACCTCAAAAAGTTTCAATTCTTAATTCCTAACTATTTTGGAGAAAACAAATTTTTTTTAATATCACATTCAAAAAACGTGAAATTTAATGTGTGTTAATAAAAAATTTATATAAAATTAACTGATCATCATGGAAGCTTATAATTTGGTGTAAACTAACCTCAAACATTCCTTTATGACCTCAAAAAGTTTTATTTTATAATTCCTAGCCGTTTAGGAGAAATCAATTTTTATATTTAATCCCAATTTTAATATGTCATTTTCAAAATTTTTTATTAAAAAAACTGTTCATCCGGGAAACTTCAAATTTAGTAACATCTAAGTCCTAACCCTTCTTTATAACCTCAAAACGTTTCAATTCTTAATTCCTTACTATTTTGGAGAAAACAATTTTTTTTTAATATCACATTTAAAAAAAGTGAAATTTAATGTGATAATAAAAAATCTGTATATAAAATTAACTGATCATCATGGAAGCTTATAATTTGGTGTAAACTAACCTCAAACATTCCTTTATAACCTCAAAAAGTTTTATTTTATAATTCCTAGCCGTTTTGGAGAAATCAATTTTTATATATAATCCCAGTTTCAATAAACGTCATTTTCAAAATTTTTTATTAAAAAAACTGTTCATCCGGGAAACTTCAAATTTGGTAACATATAAGTCTTAACCCTTCTTTATAACCTCAAAAAGTTTCAATTCTTAATTCCTAACTATTTTGGAGAAAAGAATTTTTTTTTGATATCATCACATTCAAAAAATGTGAAATTTAATGTGATAATAAAAAATCTATATATAAAATTAACTGATCATCATTTAAGCTTATGATTTGGTGTAAATCAACCCCAAACGTTCCTTTATAACCTCAAAAAGTTTCATTTCATAATTCCTAGCCGTTTTGGAGAAATCCATTTTTATATATAATCCCAATTTCAATAAAAGTCATTTTGAAAATTTTTTATTAAAAAAGCTATTCATCGGGGAAACTTCAAATTTGGTAACATATATGTACCAACCCTTCTTTATACCCTCAAAAAGTTTCAATTCTTAATTCCTAACTATTTTGGAGAAAACATTTTTTTTTTAAACAGCACATTCAAAAAACGTGAAATTTAATGTGTGTTAATAAAAAAATTATATAAAATTAACTGATCATCATGGAAGCTCATAATTTGGTGTAAACTAACCTCAAATGTTCCTTTATAACCTCAAAAAGTTTCATTGCTTAATTTCCAGCCGTTTTGGAGAAATCAATTTTTTAGTATAATTCCAATTTTAATAAACGTCATTTTAAAAAGTTTTTATTAGAAAAGCTGTTAATCCGGGAAACTTCAAATTTGGCAACATATAAGTACCAACCCTTCTTTACATCCTCAAAAAGTTTCAAATCTTAATTCCTAACTGTTTTGGAGAAAACAATTTTTATAATACAACATTATTTCCCAAAAACGTTTCTAATTTAAAACCTAATTTACAACCAAACATAAAAATAAACTTTTCCATTGCATTTACTCCATAACACACTTAAAATAGTTAATATTAATTTTATCACCAACCCAACAAAAAAAGAGAAATAAAAAACAATTAAANATCATCATAGAAGCTTATAATTTGGTATAAACTAACCTCAAACATTCCTTTATAACCTCAAAAAGTTTTATTTTATAATTCCTAGCCGTTTTGGAGAAATCAATTTTTATATATAATCCCAATTTCAATAAACGTCATTTTCAAAATTTTTTATTACAAAAACTGTTCATCCGGGAAACTTTAAATTTTGTAACATCTAAGTCCTAATCCTTCTTTATAACCTCAAAAAGTTTCAATTCTTAATTCCTAACTATTTTGGAGAAAACAATTTTTTTTTAATATCTCATTCAAAAGACGTGAAATTTAATATGTGATAATAAAAAATCTATATATAAAATTAACTGATCATTATGGAAGCTTATAATTTGGTATAAACTAACCTCAAACATTCCTTTATAACCTCAAAAAGTTTTTTTTTATAATTCCTAGCCGTTTTGGAGAAATCAATTTTTATATATAATCCCAATTTAAAAAAAAGTCATTTTCAAAAATTTTTATTAAAGGAACTGTTCATCGGGGAAACTTCAAATTTGGTAACATATAACTCCTAACCCTTCTTTATAACCTCAAAAAGTTTCAAATCTTAATTCCTAACTATTTTGGAGAAAACAATTTTTTTTTAATATCACATTTAAAAAACGTGAAATTTAATGTGATAATAAAAAATCTATATATAAAATTAACTGATCATTATGGAAGCTTATAATTTGGTGTAAACTAATCTCAAACGTTCCTTTATAACCTCAAAAAGTTTTATTTTATAATTCCTAGCCGTTTTGGAGAAATCAATTTTTATATTTAATCCCAATTTTAATATGAGTCATTTTCAAAATTTTTTATTAAAAAAACTGTTCATCGGGGAAACTTCAAATTTGGTAACAAATAAGTCTTAACCCTTCTTTATAACCTCAAAAAGTTTCAAACCTTAATTCCTAACTGTTTTGGAGAAAATAATTTTTGTTTAAACAGCATATTCAAAAAACGTGAAATTTAATGTGTGTTAATAAAAAATTTATATAAAATTAATTGATCATCATGGAAGCTTATAATTTGGTGTAAACTAACCTCAAACGTTCCTTTATAACCTCAAAAAGTTTCATTTCATAATTCCTAGCCGTTTTGGAGAAAACAATTTTTTTTTAATATCATATTCAAAAAAAGTTAAATTTAATGTGATAATAAAAAATCTATATATAAAATTAACTGATTATCATAGAAGCTTATAATTTGGTATAAACTAACCTCAAACGTTCCGTTATAACCTCAAAAAGTTTCATTCCTTAATTTCCAGCCGTTTTGGAGAAATCAATTTTTTAGTATAATTCAATTTTAATAAACGTCATTTTCAAAAATTGTTATTAGAAATGCTGTTAATCCGGGAAACTTTAAATTTGGTAACATATAAGTACCAACCCTTCTTTACATCTTCAAAAAGTTTCAAATCTTAATTCCTAACTGTTTTGGAGAAAACAATTTTTATAATACAACATTATTTCCCAAAAACGTTTCTAATTTAAAACCTAATTTACAACCAAACATAAAAATAAACTTTTCCATTGCATTTACTCCATAACACACTTAAAATAGTTAATATTAATTTTATCACCAACCCAACAAAAAAAGAGAAATAAAAAACAATTAAAACCCAGGAGAACAAAGGTATTTGGAGACAGATTAATCGCTTTGGTTTGTTCGGTTTTTTTTGTTACACCCAAGTATATAACAAGTCATTGTTCTCGAAGAGCAAGTTGTTGCTATACCACAATTAATTGTTAAAACGATATTTAGTACGGTAGTTTTTTGAGAATCTACGTCAAGATCATGACGACGATGTGTTTTTAAACGAAAATAAGGAGGGAAGTTAAGTTGTCGTTGCGTCATTTGATTCACCGTAGAGGAACATGTCTGATATCCTTCCTATATAAACGACGAGGCAAGTTTTAAGATTATTTAGTCTTACACTACATTAAGAAGGATTTTTTTTTAAATAAATTTAACCATGAAAATTTCGTTCGCCGATAACTTAAAGAGAAAAAATGGGAATCAATTTTATCAATATTTATGTACAGCTACAGGTAAGATTTTTTTTTTATGATTAATTAATTTTTTATAATTAATTAAATTTTTTTTAGCAACTTTAACGTTATTAACATCGGCTATGCATTATGGTTGGCCATCACCTTCTTTACCGAAATTGCTAGCGAATGAGCATCATTTCCAAATAAGTGATGAACAAGGTTCTTGGATTGCTGTAATAACTTTAATCGGGTGCCCATTTGGTGCTATTTTAGCTTGCACTTTAGTAAACATTTTGGGGAGAAAAAAAGTGATTTTATTAACCGGCCCAAATTTAATCTTAGCCTGGATATTAGTTGCTTATGGTAAACGAGTCGAAATCATGGTTTTCGCGAGATTCATCGCAGGGATTTCAGATGGGATTATATACACGGTGATTCCCATGTACATAGGTGAAGTGGCCGATCCGAATATTCGGGGATTATTGGGTTCAAGTTGCTCCGTTACGATGATGTTTGGAATATTATTAGTAAATATATTGGGGGTTTATTTCGATATAACAACTTTAGCGATGATTTCGGTTTCGATACCGCTCGTTTTTTTGATCACTTTCCCTTGGATGCCGGAAAGTCCTTATTATTTAGTGATGAAGGGAAAAATGGAAGATGCGAAAGCGAATTTAAGAAAATTAAAAGGAATCGAAGACGTTGACGCGGATATTAACCGATTAACTAACGCTGTTAAAGAAAAAAATAAAAAGGAAAAAGCGCGAATTTGGGATTTATTTTTGGTTCGAAGTAATCGAAAAGGAATTTTAATCATAATGTGTTTAAGAGCTGTGCAACAATTAAGCGGGATTTCGGCGTTAACTTTTTATGCCAACACCATTTTTAAAGAACTCGAAGATACTTTATCGTCGAATATAACAACAGCGATTTTTTTTTCGATTCAATGTCTTATTTCGATGTTATCCGCTTTTTTATTAGACAAAGCTGGAAGAAAACCTTTATTAATAACATCGGCTATAGGATGCGCTTTATGCCTCTTATTACAAGCAACTTATTATTACTTAAACACCAAATTAGACATTTCCCATTTAAGTTTAATCCCAATAATCTCATTAATCTGCTACATAATCGCTTATTGCATAGGATTAGGTACAATCCCGGTTTTAATGCTCAGCGAGCTTTTCCCAACGACCATAAAAGCTTTCGCGTTGTGTTTCGCAGAATTATATTTTAGTTTGATCGCAACGGCGGTTTCGAAATTTTTTCAAATCACGAAAGACACCTTTGGTATTTACGTCCCTTTTTATGTCTTCGGGGTTTGTACCATTATCGGATTGATTTGGGTCACCTTTTCAATCCCAGAAACGAAAGGAAAAACGTTAGAAGAAATTCAAGAATTGCTACAAAACTCAAATAAAGAAAAAGAAGATACGATCGAGGCGTAAACATAAAAATAAACGATTTAATTAAGATCTTTGATCTTATACGACTGATCTATGTGGTAACATTGTACCTAAATGCGATCTTTGATTTGAATTCAAACGGTTTTATTAACCGCAGTTGACATCGATTAACCCCTTTATTCTTAGAATCGTACTGATTAATTTATAAGAACAAAATATTCCTATAACTAATTAATGTAATTTTTATATTTTATTTTTGAAAATAAAAATTAATTAAATCAATTTTTTTTTTTAAACTTCCTCCGATTCTTAAGTAAAGGTGATAAAAGTTAAGGTGTGGATTTTAGCGTGTGCGTAAATGGAGAGTAAGCGAGCCGTTAAATCGATGTTTAAACAGAAATACGGTTTTCGGGTTTACAAATAGGTTTATCTGTAAATTTAAAGCAGGAAATCGTTTAAAATTTGATTAACGTAATTGTGCATTATCATTTTCCTTAGCAACACGGTTTAACTTGCATATTAAAAAAAAAATAAAACGAGAACGTTGTAAAACAAATAAACATTGATAATATAATGTATTATGTACCTGGGTAAAATGTGAAAGGTAAATATTTAAACGGTCCGAAATAATGTGATTTTAATTTGGTTTTTTTGTGGAGAAATTGTAAATTAAATGGAAAAATATTTTTTAAATATCTAGGAAATATAGATTTCACACCATTTTTTGTAAATAAATAGACACCTACATCTTCATGATAATTTTCTATCTACTTTCTTAGCTGATATCTTCCTTATTATTAGATATAGCGAAAAACTAAATGTACCATTTGAAAACTTGATTCTTTCTGTATCTAAAACCTTCTTTGTTATAAAGAGCAGAAAATTTGCGATATGATTGTAGAGTTTTCTCCTGGTCATATAAGAAAGTTACCCCAACAAAGTTTAAAAGTGTCAAAACGTGTCAATTTAATAGTTTTAGGCCAAATACGTACTTGTGCAAGCGTGATCGCCGCGTGTTATACACCATTAGAAAGAGCAGAAAATTTTCGATAAGATAGATACGATTCTAGAGTTTTTTCCTGATCATATAAGAAAGTTATCGACCGGAACAAGGTTTAAAAGTACCTAAAACGGGTGGATTTAGTAGTTTTTGGCTTAAAAAGTAATTGTGCAAGCGTGATCGCCGCGTCTTATATACCATTAGAAAGAGTAGAAAATTTTTGATAAGATAGATACGATTCTAGAGTTTTCTCGTGGTCATATAAAAAAGTTATCGACCCCAACAAGGTTTAAAAGTATCTAAAACGTATGAATTTAATACTTTTTGGTCAAAAACGTACTTGTGCAAGCTTCATCGCCGCGTGTTATACACCATTAGAAAGAGCAGAAAATTTTCGATAAGATAGATACGATTCTAGAGTTTTTTCATGGTCATATAAGAAAGTTATCGACCCCAACAAGGTTTAAAAGTACCTAATACGGGTGGATTTAGTAGTTTTTGGCTTAAAAAGTAATTGTGCAAGCGTGATCGCCGCGTATTATATACCATTAGAAAGAGTAGAAAATTTTTGATAAGATAGATACGATTCTAGAGTTTTCTCCTGGTCATATAACAAAGTTATCGACCCGAACAAGGTTTAAAAGTGGCTAAAACGTGTGAATTTAATAATTTTTGGCTAAAACGTACTTGTGCAAGCGTGATCGCCGCGTGTTATACACCATTAGAAAGAGCAGAAAATTTTCGATAAGATAGATATGATTCTAGAGTTTTCTCCTGGTCATATAAAATAGTTATCGACCCCAACAAGGTTTAAACGTAGCTAAAACGTGTAAATTTAATAGTTGTTAGCCAAAAACGTACTTGTGCAAGCGTGATCGCCGCGTGTTATACACCATCAGAAAGAGCAGAAAATTTTCGATAAGATAGATACGATTCTAGAGTTTTCTCCTGGTCATATAAGAAAATTATCGACCCTAACAACGTTTAAAAGTAGCAAAACGTGTGAATTTAATAGATTTTGGCTTAAAAAGTAATTGTGCAAGCGTGATCGCCGCGTCTTATACACCATTAGAAAGAGAAGAAAATTTTCGATAAGATAGATACGATTCTAGAGTTTTCTCCTGGTCATATAAGAAAATTATCGACCCCAACAAGGTTTAAAAGTACCTAAAACGGGTGGATTTAGTAGTTTTTGGCTTGAAAAGTAATTGTGCAAGCGTGATCGACGCGTGTTATACACTATTAAAAAGAGCAGACAATTTTCGATAAGATAGATACGATTCTAGAGTTTTCTCCTGGTCATATAAGAAAGTTATCGACCCCAACATGGCTTAAAAGTAACTAAAACGTATGAATTTAATAGTTTCTGGCCAAAAACGTACTAGTGCAAGCGTGATCGCCGCGTGTTATACATCATTAGAAAGAGCAGAAAATTTTCAATTAGATAGATATGATTCTAGAATTTTCTCCTGGTCATATAAGAAAGTTATCGACCTCAATAACGTTTAAAAGTAGCAAAACGTGTGAATTTAATAGCTTTTGGCCAAAAACATACTTGTGCAAGCTTGATCGTCGCGTGTTATACACTATTAGAAAGAGCATAAAATTTTCGATAAGATAGATATGATTCTAGAGTTTTCTCTTGGTCATATAAAAAAGTTATCGACCCCAACAAAGATTAAAAGTGGCTAAAACATGTGAATTTAATAGTTTTTGGCTAAAAACGTACTTGTGCAAGCGTGATCGCCGCGTGTTATACACCATTAGAAAGAGCAGAAAATTTTCGATGAGATAAATACGAATCTAGAGTTTTCTCCTGGTCATAAAAGAAAGTTACCAACCCAAATTAAAAGTACCTAAAACGTGTAAATTTAATAGTTTTTGGCCAAAAATGTACTTGTGCAAGCGTGACCGCCGCGTGTTATACACCATTAGAAAAAGCAGAAAATTTTTAATAAGATAGATACGATTCTAGAGTTTTTTCCTTGTCATATAAGAAAGTCATCGACCCCAACAAGGATTAAAAGTACCTAAAACGTGTGAATTTAATAGTTGTTGGCTAAAAACGTGCTTGTGCAAGCGTGATCGCCGCGTGTTATACACCATTAGAAAGAGCAGAAAATTTTCGATAAGATAGATACGATTCTAGAATTTTTTCCTGGTCATATAAGAAAGTTATCGACCCCAACAAGGATTAAAAGTACCTAAAATGTGTGAATTTAATAGTTGTTGGCTAAAAACGTGCTTGTGCAAGCGTGATCGCCGCGTGTTATACACCATTAGAAAGAGCAGAAAATTTTCAATTAGATAGATATGATTCTAGAATTTTCTCCTGGTCATATAAGAATGTTATTGACCCCAACAACGTTTAAAAGTAGCAAAACGTGTGAATTTAATAGTTTTTGGCCAAAAACGTGCTTGTGCAAGCGTGATCGCCGTGTGTTATACTTCATTAGAAAGAGCAGAAAATTTTCGATAAGATAGATATACTTCTATAGTTTTCTCCCTATCAAATAAGACAGTAGTTTAGAGGAAGAGCAATTAAGCGTTTCTGCGTGTAGGAATGTATATTAAGGGTGATTTAAGCATGATGCTGATGGATATTGACCAACGAAAACCCGGATTAAGATAGTTGAGCGCTCCTATTAACTGTGATAACAGTTTTTTAAAATTCGGTTTGATAACAGTTGCACAAGTGTTTGAAGTTTTGTAATTTTTAGCTATTTTAAGTACAGAGTGCAAGACAAGTCTCAAACAGTTTGAGACTTGTCAACAAACTCTCAGTGGCTCTAAAAAGGATACTGGATAAGATAAGCAAGGTAAGAAAGAGCCTGGTAAAAGAAGAAAGGTGAAAGAATACTGAGCGAAAAGATAGATTACTGAAAAGGAACTGATAATAAAAAAAGGATTGAATAAGGACTGGAAAGAGGAGAATGAAACAAAAAAAAAGTGATTTAACAATAATACAAAGAAGAAGCCAGAAAGTCACCGAACTGACAGTTGTAGAACTGGAGGTAATAGAAAATAGGGACTAAACAGAAAATGGAAAGAGAAAAAAGAGACTAGACGCAGAGGTCGGCAAATGGAAAGAAACTGAAAGGGAGAAAAAACTGACTAAAGACTGAATAATGAAGAAATATTTTGGGAAGAAGTTGGTAATTGAAGAAAGAGATTGGAAAAAAGCTGGTAATACCAAAAGATCTACAATAGAAGCTGGAACAAGTAAAAATGAGTCGGGTAGAAAATGGTTATAGAAGATCAGACTGGGATATGACTGATAATAGATGGTAGTAATTAAACAGAATCTGGAAAAAGAAGAAAAAGTCTGAGAAGTGATCGATAATGAAAGAAGAGACTGTAATGGGACTGGTAATAAAAGATAAGAACCAAACAAGGGCTAGAAAGTGAAGAAAGAGACTGCACAAAGACTGGAAAGAAAATAAAAGGTATTGAAAGAGATGGCAATAGAAGAAAGAGATTGGCAACACCAAAAGGGACAGACTAGAAACTGGAAAATGAAAGAAAGATTCCAAGCAGAGAAATAGAAATAGATGAGTCTGGCCATAGAGGGGAAAACATTAAAAGCAAGAATGCACTAGGCAGAGAATAGGAAGATAGAAGAGAGATTAATAATAGAAAAAAGATTTATGGTAAAGATTTGGACAAAGAATAACTTAGACAAGACTAGTAATAGAAGAAAATAACTGAGTAAAAAGGTGGAAGGTTAAAGAGATTATTATCAAACTCTCAGTGGCTCTAAAAAGATACTGCATAAGATTAGCAAGATAAAAAAGAGCATGGGAAAAGACTGGTAAAAGAAGAAAGGTGAAAGAAGACTGTGCGAAAAGATAGGTAACTGAAAAGGAACTGATAATAAAAAAGAAGATAGAATAAGGACTGGAAAGAGGAGAGTGAGACTTACCATAGACTGGAATTAAAACAAGAAGAGAATAAAGAAAGATAAGAAAAAGACTGAGTAAAGAGTAGAGAAACTGGGAGAAGACAGAAGACTAGACGGAGAATAGAAAGATAAGAGGAATACCAAACAAATACCAAGAGACTGGAAAAAGAATTAGTCTGGTACAAATGGTAATAGAAGACTGGAATGTGACTGATAACTGATAATAGATGGTAGTAATTAAACAGAATCTGGAAAAAGAAGAAAAAATCTGAAAAGTGACCGATAATAGAAGAAAAGACTAGAATGGGATTGGTAATAAAAGATAAGAACCAAAAAAGGACTAGATATAGAAGAAAGAGACTACACAAAGACTGGAAAGAAAATAAAAGGTATTGAAAGAGATGGTAATAGAAGAAAGAGATTGGCAACACCAAAAGGGACAGACCACAAACTGGAAAAGGAAAGAATGATTCTGGTGGGAAATCGTATTAGGAAAAAACTGATAATTGATGATATAAACAACATTGGTAATAAAAGATAAGAACCAAATACGGACTAGAAAGAGAATAACGAGACTGAACAAACACGAGAAAATGAAGAAAATGTCTGAGAAGTGGCTGGTAATAGAAGAAAGAGATTGGCATCACCAAAAGATACTGAATATATATTGGAAAAAGAAAGAATGATTTGAGTGAAGACTGATAATAATTGATAATAGATGGTAGAAACTAAACAAAGACTGGAGAGAGAGAAGAAAGGGTCTGGAAAGAGACTCGTAATATAAGTAAGCCATTGGACAGAGATTGGATATAACAGAAATAGACCAAACACAAACTAAATAGAATAAGATGCACGAGTTTGGGAGATTATAAGAGACTTGTAATAAAAGACAAAAACTAAACAAGAACTAAAAAGTGAAGAAACAGAGAAACCAGATCTCTAAATATTTACAATGTAACACTAATATTGTACAGGGTGGCCAAATAAGTACTATTTCTCGGTAACTGCTCATTGTAGTAGTGGCTAAGAGAAAATCCTGGAAATTATTTTCAGGTTACAGTTTTTTTTGTAAAAACACTTTTTGCCCTATCTCTAAAAATAAAGTGGTGAAGGGTGTTCGAAAATGTTTGTAAAAAAATGCCAATAATTTCAAAATGGGTAAACGGATTTTAATAAACTTGGTACCGTTGAAAAGAGCTTTTCTTGGACTACAAATCTTACCTTATTTGTAGTGACTTTACATTAGTACATCGGCATTTTTCGATGTTACAATAGGTACTATTGTGAATTTTCTTACTTTAATTACTTTCTTTTCATGAAAAAACAGCAAAATGAAGCCAAAAAAAAAAGCTAATGAAAACCGTAACTCGATATTATGTTTGTAACCTAAAATATCGGTGAAAGAAGATTTTATGAGAAAATTTAATGGAGTTCGATCAGTTTTTTTAAAATTTTTTAAGGTACCTTAGTTTAGAAGATACTTCACCTCACTTTTAAAAAACAAAAAAATCCTTCTAAAAATCTATTTATTGCCTCCTTAAATACTCAAATTATTTTACATACAGTAACTATGAATATTGATGAATGAAGAAGTAAATGGACATAACACATATTGAAAAGAAAAGACAGAAAAAAAGTCTGAGAAGAGACTAGCATTACTAGCAATTGAAGAAAAAGGTTGAATAGAGACTAGAATATAAAAGAAAAAGATTAGGTAGAGGTGAGAGATTAAATCGTTTGATATAAAAGACAAGACTTTACACTGNTAACACAAATTATTAGCTTTTCAATGAACCAAACGGATTTTCAAAATATCTTTTAGTTTTTGAGATATTAAGTTTTAACTGTAACGAGACATTTTTTCATTATTTAGGATAAGCGATTATTTTCAATTATTTTCAAAAAATCGTAATAAATCGTAGTTTTAATAAATTTTTATGAAATTATCAGCATTTATAAAACAAATTATTAGCTTTTCAATGAACGAAACGGATTTTCAAAATATCTTTTAGTTTTTAAGATATTAAGTTTTAACTGTAACAAAACACTTTGTCATTATTTAGGATAAACGATTATTTTCAATCATTTTCAAAAAATCGTAATAAATCGTAGTTTTAATAAATTTTTATGAAATTATCGGCATTTATAAAACAAATTATTAGCTTTCCAATGAACGAAACGGGTTTTCAAAATATCTTTTAGTTTTTAAGATATTAAGTTTTAACTGTAACGAGACACTTTGTCATTATTTAGGATAAACGATTATTTTCAATCATTTTCAAAAAATCGTAATAAATCGTAGTTTTAATAATTTTTTTTGAAATCATCAGCATTTATAAAACAAATTATTAGCTTTTTAATGAACGAAACGGATTTTCAAAATATCTTTTAGTTTTTCAGATATTAAGTTTTAACTGTGACAAGACACTTTGTCATTATTTAGGATAAACGATTATTTTCTATCATTTTCAAAAAATCGTAATAAATCGTAGTTTTAATATTTTTTTATGAAATTATCAGTATTTATAAAACAAATTATTAGCTTTTCAATGAACAAAACGGATTTTCAAAATATCTTTTAGTTTTAAAGGTATTAAGTTTTAACTGTAATAAGACACTTTGTCATTATTTAGGATAAACGATAATTTTCAATCAGTTTCAAAAAATCGTAATAAATCGTAGTTTTAATAAATTTTTATGAAATTATCAGCATTTATAAAACAAATTATTAGCTTTTCAATGAACGAAACGGATTTTTAAAATATCTTTTGATTTTTAAGATATTAAATTTTAACTGTAATAATACATTTTCTAATTTTTTAGGATAAACGATTATTTTCAATCATTTTCAAAAAATCGTAATAAATCATAGTTTTAATAAATTTTTATGAAATTATCGGCATTTATAAAACAAATTATTAGCTTTTTAATGAACGAAACGGATTTTCAAAATATCTTTCAGTTTTTAAGATATTAATTTTTAAACATCATAGGACATTTATTTATTATTTTCACTCATTAGAAAAAAAAATCATAATAAATCGAGATTTCAATAAATCATTATGAAATTATCAACATCTCTAATTCAAGTTATAGGCTTTCCAACGAAACCACCGATTTTTGAAAATTCGTTTCAGTTCTTGAGATATTAATTTTGAAAGTGAAGAAATGCCTTTGGAATGGATAAACTAAAAAGTTTGGGACTGTTTAGAAATCCATCGAAATTACTATAAATTTTTGGATTGGATCAACACTTAATTAATGGGTATAATAAAGAGATAGGAATTCTTTACTTCCAACTACTCTATATTGAGCAAAAGTGGTTATGTTTGAAATGTTCAGAGTTAGAACGAAGCCAATGAAGATATTCGTCAGTTTAATAAGTTTGCTTGATACATTTGAGATAAAATTAACCTAATTTTTCGCAAATATTATCATTATCTCGTAACCAAAAAACTTTTTCCTTAATTTCAAGGATTAATACAAATCTTGTTTCAACACAATCAACATTTTGTACAATCAAATTGTTCCAATTTCTTCTCTTCACCACGTAAATAAGTTTGGATCTCCTCGAGCGTTTTTCCCTTAGTTTCCGGCACATAATACACAATAAATACTAACCCTATCGCGCAAAACGACGTAAAAACGAAAAACGGAACGTGCATACCGAAATCGTCCTTCATAATTTGAAAGAATTTCGAAACGATCGTTACGATTACTCCGAAATAAATATCGGCCAAACACAAAGCGAACGCCTTAACGTTTGTCGGGAATAATTCGCCTAATAATAAAACAGGAATTGTACCCATTCCTAAATTAAAAATAACGACGTATGTTAATAAAGACATAATTGGAACCCAATCTAATTCGCTTACATCTATTTCGGTATAATTTTTTAAGTAGATGTAAATCCCTTCCGATGCTAATGCAAAACCCGAACCGATTATTGAGAATATCAATAAAGGTCTTCTACCCGTTTTATCGACTAAAATAGATGCTAAAGTCGCTACTATTAATTGAATAGAAAAATAAATAATCGCAGCGTGGCTCGAAGACATATTAGAACCAGCCTCATCAAAAATCGTTTTTGCATAAAAAGTAATCGCGGTTGTTCCACTGCATTGCTGAACAGCTCTAATCCCCATAATGATAAAACAAGCTTTTCGATTACTTCGAACGCGAAATAAATCTAATAAACTCCCCGAAGATTCTTGTTCTTCACGTACGGCATCTGCCAATCGTGTTAATTCTAATTCAACATCGTCCGTTCCTCTAAACGTTCTTAAACTTTTTCTTGCACTATCCGGTTTGTTACGGATCAATAAAAAATAAGGACTTTCCGGCATAAAAACGAACGTACAAAAATGTACAATAGGAACTAAAGCCGAAATCAAAGCTGCGTAAGTTATATCAAACATCGAACCGATTATATTAATTAATAAAAAACCTAAAATTGTTGTTACCGGTATAAACGATCCTAATAAACCACGGATTGCCGATCGGGCTATTTCACCTAAGTAAATCGGTAAAGCTGTGAATGCAATACCGTCGGCGATTCCTGCGAGAAATCTTGCTGAGTGTAAAATCGCAACTGAGTTTGAAAATGCCACCATAATCCATGCGATGAAATAAAGTGGGGAGGTAATTAACATCGATATTTTTCTTCCGATTCTATCTACCGTTGCGACGGCCATAAAGCAACCAACGGCTGCTCCCATACAAGGCATCACTGCGACCCAAGAACCATCAGCGTTTGTCATGGGAATGTGGGAGCTTTCGTCTAATAATTGAGGTAAAGATGGGGAAGGCCAACCGAAATGCATTCCGGTACAAACTATTACAATTGTACCTGAAAATAAAAAAAAAATATATTAATTTAATATAATATTAATTAAAATTTATCTTAGAAAAAATGCAGANAATAAATTATTATGAAATTATCAACATCTCTAATTCAAGTTATAGGCTTTCCAACGAAACCACCGATTTTTGAAAATTCGTTTCAGTTCTTGAGATATTAATTTTGAAAGTGAAGAAATGCCTTTGGAATGGATAAACTAAAAAGTTTGGGACTGTTTAGAAATCCATCGAAATTACTATAAATTTTTGGATTGGATCAACACTTAATTAATGGGTATAATAAAGAGATAGGAATTCTTTACTTCCAACTACTCTATATTGAGCAAAAGTGGTTATGTTTGAAATGTTCAGAGTTAGAACGAAGCCAATGAAGATATTCGTCAGTTTAATAAGTTTGCTTGATACATTTGAGATAAAATTAACCTAATTTTTCGCAAATATTATCATTATCTCGTAACCAAAAAACTTTTTCCTTAATTTCAAGGATTAATACAAATCTTGTTTCAACACAATCAACATTTTGTACAATCAAATTGTTCCAATTTCTTCTCTTCACCACGTAAATAAGTTTGGATCTCCTCGAGCGTTTTTCCCTTAGTTTCCGGCACATAATACACAATAAATACTAACCCTATCGCGCAAAACGACGTAAAAACGAAAAACGGAACGTGCATACCGAAATCGTCCTTCATAATTTGAAAGAATTTCGAAACGATCGTTACGATTACTCCGAAATAAATATCGGCCAAACACAAAGCGAACGCCTTAACGTTTGTCGGGAATAATTCGCCTAATAATAAAACAGGAATTGTACCCATTCCTAAATTAAAAATAACGACGTATGTTAATAAAGACATAATTGGAACCCAATCTAATTCGCTTACATCTATTTCGGTATAATTTTTTAAGTAGATGTAAATCCCTTCCGATGCTAATGCAAAACCCGAACCGATTATTGAGAATATCAATAAAGGTCTTCTACCCGTTTTATCGACTAAAATAGATGCTAAAGTCGCTACTATTAATTGAATAGAAAAATAAATAATCGCAGCGTGGCTCGAAGACATATTAGAACCAGCCTCATCAAAAATCGTTTTTGCATAAAAAGTAATCGCGGTTGTTCCACTGCATTGCTGAACAGCTCTAATCCCCATAATGATAAAACAAGCTTTTCGATTACTTCGAACGCGAAATAAATCTAATAAACTCCCCGAAGATTCTTGTTCTTCACGTACGGCATCTGCCAATCGTGTTAATTCTAATTCAACATCGTCCGTTCCTCTAAACGTTCTTAAACTTTTTCTTGCACTATCCGGTTTGTTACGGATCAATAAAAAATAAGGACTTTCCGGCATAAAAACGAACGTACAAAAATGTACAATAGGAACTAAAGCCGAAATCAAAGCTGCGTAAGTTATATCAAACATCGAACCGATTATATTAATTAATAAAAAACCTAAAATTGTTGTTACCGGTATAAACGATCCTAATAAACCACGGATTGCCGATCGGGCTATTTCACCTAAGTAAATCGGTAAAGCTGTGAATGCAATACCGTCGGCGATTCCTGCGAGAAATCTTGCTGAGTGTAAAATCGCAACTGAGTTTGAAAATGCCACCATAATCCATGCGATGAAATAAAGTGGGGAGGTAATTAACATCGATATTTTTCTTCCGATTCTATCTACCGTTGCGACGGCCATAAAGCAACCAACGGCTGCTCCCATACAAGGCATCACTGCGACCCAAGAACCATCAGCGTTTGTCATGGGAATGTGGGAGCTTTCGTCTAATAATTGAGGTAAAGATGGGGATGGCCAACCGAAGTGCATTCCGGTACAAACTATTACAATTGTACCTGAAAATAAAAAAAAATATATTAGTTTAATATAATATTAATTGTGTAACTTATCTTAGAAAAAATGCAGAATACCGAAAGACCTAAAATACTATTTGTTTTAAACGATAAAGCTTTTATAAAGGATTTATACGATTTCAAGTCCGATTTGAAATGCGTTTGTCCTATATATAGATGAACCTACAATTTCGGGCCAGTGTGGTTTTCTAGATGTTAGTATAATATTAAAAGTTATATAGAATTTAAGCCTAACTAGTTTCGGCCCTTGGCCATCTTCCTAAACTCTACAAATAGATTAACATCTTTCATCTAATCCAAAACATTCGGGTTTAGTCGTGAAAAATACTTTCAGTTGTCAATGTCAACTTTAATTTTATTATTATATCCGTAATCGTCATAAAATAACCTTTAAAGTGAGTCTAAACTTGACGCATTTATCTCAAAAAAACCAAAAAAAAATTCGAACTTTCAACTTTTAATTTTGACATATTTGTCAACTTCATAAAAAATCCTTTAAAATGAGCCCAAACACGACATGTTTAACATTAATATTAACGGAAATACAATCACTTCCGGTTTGAAACGTCAACGTCAATTTTGACATATTTATCATCTTCATTAAAAAACCTTTAAAATGAGTCCAAAGATGACGCACTTATCTCAAAAAACAAAAAAGTTGGAATAAAAAACATTAAACCCGAAGTTAGCAACAATGAAGATAGCAGTTTAATTTTTAAATATTAATACCAACCTTAATTTTTTAGTTTTTTATTATATTTTTGTTTTGTGACAAATATTAAAACATTTTATAAAAATTAAGAATATGTCAAAATGACATTGACATTTCAAACCGGAAGTTGCTTATATCTCGAGTAATATTGGAATTAAAGGTATCATGTTTGGACTCATTTTAAAGGATTTTTCACGACGATTGCAAATATGTCAAAATTGACGTTGACATTCTTAACCGGAAATTGACCATAACTTCATTAATATTGAAGATAAATATGTCGTGTTTGTACTCATTTCAAAGGATTTTTAATAAAGATTACAAATATGTCAAAATTGAGGTTGACATCTTAAACCTGAAGTTAGTTATCATATAATAGAAGTTTTATAACTGAAGTTATCACTTTTCCGCACTTTCTTTTTATTTTGAACGTGCTTTTTGGGTCATTTCAGATTGATTAAAAAAAATCGTCGATTTTTAAGCCACATGATGATTCTTGAATTTTTAAAAAACTTTTTTAATATTTTTTTGTGTTAAAAAAGAGCGTTCTTAAATTTTAACTTGTAAACTTGTAACACTTCGTCCTTAATTTTATTTTACAACTTTTTAAACTTTAATTTTGTAAATTAGTAACTAATAATCTGATTGCGACTTTGATATGTGATCTTTTTTAATAAAAGAAAAAGAAACATTAAGAAACTTGTTTGTAAAATGGATAAGATGAGAGATGTTAATCTATTTGTAGAGTCTCTGAAGATGGTCAAGGGCCGAAACTGGTTAGACTTAAATTCTATATAAAATAAAAACCAGTTTAAAAGTATAAAATCAAACTTAGATTATTTTCTACAAAAATGTTTACACGAATCGTCATCATTTTGTCTCCAGTTTTAGTGATTAAATTTATGCCACGACTTACAGAAACAACCTGTATAATCGTAAAACGTAACGAGTGACCAAGCGGCTTCTGTGCTTGTGATAGCTGTCATCGGACATCGGCCAACCAAACAATTTTCAATAGTTTGAGTCTGTCTATTTTGAGAAGTCTTATATTTTTAGAGAGATGAAAACGAAAACCCCGTTTTTCTGAACATTATTCATTTGTCGCTTAGTCAAGTGATGCATATTGGTGGTCCAATTAAAACAGTATAAATTTCATTTAAGATGCATTATACAAAAATATATTTCCATAGAAACGAGGGCGTACCTACCTACTTTGTTCCATATACGATGCAACATGTCAATATAATAATCCATATAAGTGTTATAGCACAATAAATATATACAACAATCTAGCGCTGAATAACAAATAAAACTAGACTAACACTAGCACTAGAACTAGAAACATTCGGGTTTAGCTGTACCACTCTTAAGACGACTGGTAGGTCGTGGTAAGTAGTGCTGCAATATTTTTTTAATAAATTACATTGATTGTTATGGAAACATTTATGGATGTCACAAAATTAATTAAATAAAAACAAGTGACAATACCTGGTTCGTATTACATCGATAATACCAGGATAATACAAAGGTTCGTATTATCGTTCTCCATGGTTACGGCCAAATAACCGCTGAAATACTCGCAATTAACGAAAAACAAAGCGAATTCTTATTGGCTGTTAACGATATGAATGAAATAGTCTGGGATATCCTTCTACACTATCCAATAACAATAATAATAATAGCAATAATCTCTTTATTGGTTTTATGATTTATACAATTTACTATAATATACAGGGTGGTTCAGTTTTTAATCGGGAAACTTTACTAGGACGTAGCATTTGCCAAAATAACACAAGTTCTTTATATAAACATAGGGTCGCAACTCTTTTGTTTTCGAGCTATGAGCTGTCGAAGTTGAACCAAAAATTTACATTTTATCTTTTATTTCGTGTATAAGTTAACCGTAGAATTTGAAATTTTGTATGTATGTACTACTGGCTAATACCATATTTTCAACCATACCTTAAACTTTCCTAGCGCCCTCTAACGGGATGAAATTCATAACACCTTTGATTTTTTTCAAATTACGTTGTTTTAAACAATATTCAAAAATTGATACTCTTGCTTAATAACAGTCAAAAATTATTAATAATCATCAATAATTATGAGGATTCACCGTAAATGAAACTTACAAGTTTTCAGAGCCAACTTTTAGAATAATTTTAGCTAAACATGGCAGCACATGGCGGTACTTGGCACAACATATTAATTTTTTACACGGAAACTATTAACTTTAAGGAAAATACTAAAGAAACAAAAAATACCACTAAAGAATGAGCTTTACAACCTATATTTTTTTATGTTAATATTCCATAGCGTTAAAAAGTTCTTATAAAAAAATCAAGGGGGTGGTGAATTTCATCCCCTTAGAGGGTGCTAGGGAAGTTTAAGGTATGCTTGAAAATAAGTTCTTAACCAGTGGTATATACGTACAAAGTTTCAAATTCTACGGTTTACTTACAGCCGAAATACAAAACAAAATGTAAATTTTTGGCTCAACTTTGGCAGCTCATAACTCGAAAACAAACGAGTTGCGACCCTACGTTTATATAAAAAACTTGTGTTATTTTGGCAAGTACTACGTCCTAGTAAAGTTTCCCGATTAAAAACTGAACCACCCTGTATATATTGCTAAACTTAAGTAATCCTTGACCAATTGGAACCGCCATCAGGTTACAATTATATGCTCCCTGTTCTTCCTGGCGGTCCGGTAAAAATTATGAGCTAATCGAACAAAAAGCAAGAAAAGAGAAAAAAAAACAACAAAAACAAAATTCATTAAGCAGAAAATTTAAAAAAAATAAAAAGAGGAAAGAACGACAAACCACTTACTTTAGTACTTTTAATCAAATAAAACAAAAATATCAATAAAAAGTAACAAAAACCCTGCACACATGTCCCTATCACACAGCGCTCTCTCTTTTGTGATAGCCTTCTCATCTCTGACCCAAGTCTTGTTGTTTGTAAAGCACATCACGCAACTTACGCTTGAAGGAGCAACACGATAACGCTTTAAGTTCGGACGGACATTCATTGTACAATTTTGAAACATTGTAGGAAAAGCATCGTTTGAATATTGCACATCTGTGCACCGGGATTGTGATAGTATTCTTATGTCTGATATTTATGTTATGAACATCCGTCCGAAATCGTATTTTTTCGTAAAGATATGGTGGGCTTCTGTTCAGAATTATTTTATGACATAAGCACAGAACCCAACCCAACCCAACCACACATTCCCAGAGTGTGAGAAATTCGGTCATACTTACGCATTCCGTATATGAACCTTAAACAATTACTTTGCATTCGTTGAATTCTATATTTATCTACTTCCAACAGGTTGGGCCCATATACAACATCAGCATGCGTAAATATTGAGAGTATCAAACTATCGCACAAATTTACTGTAATATCTATTGGAAGGGTGTGGCGATGGGGATAAAGCGTTCTCAGTATGCCATATGATTTTTGTAAACACGATGACACGTGTCTCTTAAATCTAAGCTCCCTGTCCAAAATGAGACCTAAATCCTTTGCTTCATCGCTTACCAGCAATCTTTCCCCGTTCAGCACGACATTGCAATCATTAAGATTCATAGGTCCGAAAGTAATAATTTTTGATTTTGATGGGTTGAGAGTTAAAGACATCTTGTTAGAGTAGCTATAAATTGCTTTTAGATCGTTATTGAGTTTGAAACAAGTTTGAATCAATAGTGATCTTGATATCATCCTGATATCTATCTATATAGTTCTTGATATGTTCCAACATCGTCGCTAACCTTCGTCAACTCTTGAATATTATCGCTGTTATCTTCCAACATTCCATCGATGAGAACAAAATCGTTTCTGACATATTCCTCACATCTTTTAATGTTGTCATGACATCACTCAATTCCTTTCGTCATTTATCAAATATCTATCAATATCTTAAAACCTTCAGAAACTGTTTGGAAAGTCATGATGTTAAGAATTCCTCAAATAGAACCCAAAAATTGTAGGCAACCTTAAAATCGACAGGAAATGTATGGAAATTTACTGGATTTTTTTGAAACAACCTTTAAATCCGAGTGCAACCCAAATAAAAACTAAAAAATAATTTTTAAAGATAGCCAAAAAAAGAAATTCCTAAAACCCTTAGGAATGCTACGCACAGGCAATCCAAGGAAATCTTAAAGAATCCTAAAACTTCCAGAAACTGCTTGGAAAGTCTCCGAAAATTTATCTAGATCATCAAGAAAGTTTGGAATTACTTCTTGAAAATCACGAAATCACGGCATAGAAGTTAGAAATTCTTGGAAACTCAGATGCATCTTTAATGAATTTCAGTAATCCGTTGGAACACATTAAAATCTTCTAACATACGTGAAAATTGGACCGATTTTCCCTAATCATACGACTTATGCTGGAATGATTCCTTCCTAACACATTGGCGACATAACCCATCGAGTACCCCTCATCCATTAAACATCGCCAAAAAAAAATTCCTAAAACCCTTAAGACTGTTTTAGAAACCACAGGCAATCCAAGGAAATCTTAAAGAACCATAAAACTTGCAAAAACTGCTTGGAAAGTCTACGAAAATTTATCTAGATCATCAAGAAACTTTGGAATTACTCCAAGAATTCTTCAAAAAAGAGCCAGAAATCTTTAGAAAACATAGGAAATTCTTGAAAATCGCGAAGTCAGAAATTCTTGGAAACTCAGATGCATCATTAATGAATTTCAGTAATTCTTCGGTCCAATTTTCTTGAATGCGTGAAAATTTACTGAAAATCTTCTAGAAATTCTTTCTGATTAATTTAGGTTCACCATCAAATATGTTTCAGAAATCCTTAGACACCCCTTGGAAACCATCAAAATCCCTCAACATTGATTTAGTATCTTCAAATAGCTTCGATGATATCATTAAATATGATTTGTTGTATCAAAATCGTTCCTCACATCCGCAATAGTGGTGTGGAAGATTTAGTTTTTTAAAAAAGCCCTTCACCTCCACCAAAATATATAAATTCAATAAAACACTTTTTTTTCTTTTTTGTTAAATTTAGGTTATCATATTTTAATGTATGTGCACATCATAGTTGAATTATGTCAGTAATAAAGGAAGAATTTATTAATTTCTGAACTCCTTATTTTAGTGAAAACGTTATATTTTTTGAAAAACTAAAAGAAATGATAAAAGAAGTAGATGGTTCGTGATGTGGAAAAAGTAAAAAGAAGTGGTACGCGAAGCTGGTCAGAATCGGGTACTGACCGATTATTACGTGGATATTTATAGCAGAAAACGAGTCTGCAGTGTCCGTTGGCGCCCCTTTTTATTGCATTACGGGAGCAGCAGCGGTCGCCGTCAGAGATCCTCTTCTTCTTCTGACGGACCACGCCAGCTAACCAGCAACAGGTTGCACCAAAATAGACGCACGACGCGACGAACGGGTTATTTTAATACACTCTCGAAGCCGACATACTTCTTCTTGAGATCGTTTTTGTCTTTTTCCAATTGAAAACGAAAAAAAAATCAATCAAAATATTTAAACCTAAACGATTTTTAGAATTAGAAGATTCTATCTGAAAAAGAAGCAAAACTAAAAATAAACAAAAATAAAATGAAATGGATGGTTGAGGAATTTTTGCTTAACCACCACGTATACTAAATCCAATTACTAGCATACTTCTAAGGTAATAAAAAGCGACCAAAGAATCTCTAGTAGTCGCGACCGCAACATTAAGAAGAAGACACCACGAGATAGGGGCAGTTAAAACGTTCGCTAAGAGCGAAATTAGCCCCTGATGCGTAAACGGTGTAACAAAGTAGCACCTATAAAGAAGATTGGAACGAAATAAAACGACCTTCTTCGACACAGAAACAAAAATAGAGAATGGACTGAAGATGCGCCGGTTTGTCTTTAAGTTACACTCTGAGGCAAGGTAAAAGAATGAAAACAAAAAAAAAAAATAGAAAAAGAGTTGAGTCGTTAAGTCTAAGAGATTCTCGTTTCTGGTGGGTTGAGACGATCGCGCAATAATTAGCCCGACGGACGCCACTGGACCCGTACGGTAATAATCTATATATAGAACGTGCCGTTTCGTCCTTTTAGAGAGGTAAAGGAACCTTATGCAATCGGCGAAAAAAACTTACATGCAATAAATATCGAGCCATAAAGAGATTCGAATCCGATGCAAAAATAAATACTAGAACTTCAAAGAAGTGCAAGTTGGAGCAAAATGTTTTGATAACTTTTGCTAAAGTTTGATACATCTTTATGTACTCACCAGTAATCGTGGCTAAATACTGGTGTAAATCACTACCAGATTTAGTCTCCTTCTTCTCCTCCTTCTGTTCCAGACCCATCGTAATCTTCATCCTGGTGGCTTTAGCAACGAGGTAATAACTCAAAGCTATTGAATAATGAATTGTGGCGATCAAAATTGACTTATATCTGTTTAACTTGATTTCTCTTGGGATTACTTCTTGGTCGGGATCGCTGCTGCAGGAGTCTGGAACACCACCAGCCGAAGACTACTATGCTTCTGCAGGAGCACCACCCCAGAACGATCCCAGCCCAGAAGCAAAACGAATTCACCAACCAACTGAAAAGCGACGCCGTACACCAAAACTATTTAAGCTCTGACTGCAAGATCCAGTTTTTTTTTTGAATCGCGTACGCACGCACATCGCCGCGTTAAAGAGAGACGAGAAGAAACGATCGGAAGGAAAGTCCGAGGAGGACGATGCGAAAAGGAATCGGGAGGAGGAGGTGGAGAACGAACACCGAATCGGTTCGGTATCCTCTTCTTCTTCTCTTCTTGCGTATCGCTAATTATCAAACGCTCCACGAGAAAAGACCATCTTTAAGAAGAAGAATTTCTTCGTGGTAAAACTTTAAAAGAAGAGTTAAGACGATTAAAATTTTCTTTTTTAATTTCTTAGAATTAAAATTCTTAAAATCATTAAAATCTAGAATTTAGTATCTTGAAGTAATTTTTTTTTCTTTCGGTTTGTTTACGTTTCGAACTTTTTTTATGGACCAAGCCTCTTTTGCCTAAAATCGAAGACGAAGAGGCCATTGCCCCTTGCCCTTGCTTATCGAACCAGAAGAAGAAGAAGAAGAAGAAGTCCCCGAATAATAACCACCTGGTTCTTCTTCTTCTTCTTCTTGTCTCGTATACGAATCGCGAGGAGAGAAAATTCTTCGGCGATCCGCATCTTCTTTACAGATTGACTCGGACGATAATCGCCGGAGTTTTTCTGGGGCGCGCGCGATAAAACGTCTATAAACTGAAAGCTCTGGCGCCAGGAGAATCTTTGATGAGATTTTGCTAAATCAAAAAATAAAAATTAAAGTAAAACGAGTTAAAAGAATTCGATACGAAATTAAGCGAAAGATAAGGAAATGAGTTAAATGGTAATGATGTTAAAAATAGGAAGACAAAGAACATTTTTTTGTTTTTGTAAGAAGTGGTTTGTTCTAATTCTAAATAATGATTTGATAACATTAAACTTTGACGTAGTTTTTTAAACTAGTATTTCGTTCTTTTTGTGCTTATTACATTCTATTTTCTTAATAACAATTTTTTAGAAACGATTATGTTTAAAATTTAAAAATAAACTTAAAAGTTTTTGTTTATACTTTTAAATAATACAAAAGAAAATTTGAATTTACATATTGAAAGTAGACGATTCTAGAAGGTTCTATTACTTTCAAACGTTCATGGATGATTCTAGACGCATAATTTTAAATTATAAAATCATCAATGCGGTTAGAAAATACGAATTGCCGTAAATTTATTACTGTTGAGGAAAGTCTGCTGATATTTAGTGATATTACAGAACATTCCAGTCAATGGATTTGGAATAAAGTTGCTCATATGAGCGTTAAATGAGTCATCTTTTATAATCTAGTACCAACACAATTAATCGAATAAAGTAAAATACTTTTATCTTTCTGTACTTTTATTAAAATGGATGTAATGTTATAAATTCTACCGGTTTCGGTCCTTTTATAAAACCATCTTCAGGAACCTTCGAATCTCGTCAATTTAATTTTAAAATTAAACCGGTAGAATTTATAACATTACATCCATTTTAATAAAAGTAACAGTGTACAGAAATATAAAAGTATTTTACTTTATTTAAAATAAAATGGAAAGAAATAATGATTGCAGCAATAAGAGTTAATCGACTTAATTGGTATATCATTAGTTGTAGAAGAATGATTCTTTGTTGGTTTCTTACAACATACTTTCCAATACTTGCAATGGCAGATCTTTACATTTGTGACCTCTAAGGCGCCTTTAGCATTCGAGCGGGCGCGCTGTCATAAAATTTATGACATTTAAAAAAAAACATTTGTGATGTTCTAGAAAATGCTGAAAAACTTTTCTCTAAGTATAATCAACATGACTATGCCATAATTATGGCTGGTACCAATGACGTTTTGAGTGATACTAAGGTTTCAAAGGATGTGTATGATAAAATTAAATATTTATACAATCGTTGTAATTTAATTTATGTATCGGTTCCTTACTGGTATAGTACACACAGTTTGAATGAGAAAATCTATGAACATAACAATAGAATGTTTGATGTTTTTTAAGATTCAATTAAAAATGTTGATTGTTTTGTTAATGTCAATTCCTTTTTAAATGTGGATGATAAAACTAAACACGGACTTCACTTAAATTCTAAAGGTAAACGAAAACTATTCGCGCATATTAGCAAAATATAATTTAAAGTCAATTCAATGCAATGATATGTATTTTCACAATGGTCAGTCAGTGATAAAAATTATGTAACTAATGTTGATGATGATAATCACAGAGAAACAGTGATTCTGCGGCATGAGATATCTTAGTCAATTTTGGTTCATTTTGGTCCACTGAATATAAAAATAGTAATTTATTTGTTGAATTGACTGTAGTTTTTGAGATAAAGTATTAATTTATACAGAAAATTAAATTTTGAGAAAAGAGAATATTGTTGAAATCTATATTTTAAAATTATTTATCCATTCGACTTAAAACAAAAAATAAAACAAAATTAACTATAATAAACAAAAACATATCAATAACTTTTAAGAAAATCGTTTTCTGTGTGATTTTCTATTGTGTTTTTGATTAAGGCAATCTCTCTGTAAATTCCAGCAATAATCCGCCATCATATGGTGGTCCCATCGCCCTTTATATCTCTCTTCCATAATCTTGATATCTTGGTGAAACCGCTCCCCTTGTTCTTCGCTGTAGTCATGATGTTAACTCCCAGTTTTTGGAATTTTTTAAGCATGTTGTCTACCAATTCATAGTGTTTCAGCTTTGTGGTTTCCTAAAAAATTTCGACAACCAATACGAAGCTTGACCATGCTTTCGATTCATCTTGATTCATATGGTTTTTAAAATCTTGGTTTTTAATAAGGGAGCGAATTTTGGGACCATCAAAAATACCTGCTTTTAACTTCTCGATACTGAGACCAGGAAATGGATCACAAATATATTTGAAGCAGTCGCTGTTCTTATCTAAAGCTTTCACGAATTGTTTCATAAGTCCAAGTTTTATATGGAGGGGAGGCAGTATAACTTTTTCGCGACTTATTAATGGTTCTTCGATGATGTTTGCTTTTCCTACATCCATGTTAAGTCTCGATGGCCAGACTTTCCTGGTCCAGTGTTCATTTTTCGCTCGACTATCCCACAGACATAGAAAGCAAGGATATTTTGTGTATCCACTCTGCTGCCCCAATAAAAAGTTTACNAATATTAACTCCGAAAATATCTAAAAGAAATACAAAGATCGTAAATAGTAATGTTGTTTCTGCGGCTGTTGCAGAGGCACCTATTAGTTCTTCAAATACGAAAATATCTAAAAAAAATACAAAGGTCGCAAATCGTAAAGTTGTTTCTGGGGCTGTTGTGGAGGCACCTATAAGCTCTACAAATCATCAATTGGAGAATGTACTGTGGTCATCCCAAACTCCTAAAGAAGTCATAGAACAACTGGTAATACCGTCACAGGAAATAGTGCAAGAACGTAAATCAAAAGTGATGCTTTTGGCTGACAGTCACGGCCGTCAAGCCAACCAGCATATAACTGGATTTTTGCAGAAGAAATACGACGTTCTAACAGTATTCAAACCTAATGTTAAAATTTGTGATGTTCTAGAAGATGCTGAAAAACTGTTCTCTAACTATAATCAACATGACTATGCCATAATTATGGCTGGTACCAATGACGTTTTGAGTGACACTAAGGTTTCAAAGGACATGTATGATAAAATTAAATATTTATACAATCGTTGTAATTTAATTTATGTATCGGTTCCTTACTAGTATGGTAAACACAGTTTAAATGAGAAAATCTATGAACATAACAATAGAATGTTTGATTTTTTTAAAGATTCAATTAAAAATGTTGATTGTTTTGTTGATGTCAATTCCTTTTTAAATGTGGATGATAAAACTAAACACGGACTTCACTTAAATTCTAAAGGTAAACGAAAACTATTCGCGCATATTAGCAAAATATAATTTAAAGTCAATTCAATGCAATGAAATGTATTTTCACAATGGTCAGTCAGTGATAAAAATTATGTAGCTAATGTTGATGATGATAATTGTAATGTTAATCGTTTAAAATTTTGCGTTACTGGTCGTGTACGTGCTGTTTGTAATACTGATTCACAAAGAGAGGTGACTGATTACCTTAAAGTATTGCATAATAATATACAAGGACTCCGAAATAAACGACATGAAATGTGCTCCTTTTTGCAGGATAACAAGTTCGACGTTTTTGCATTTTTTGACCGTGGGGGTGTAGCTATTTTCTTATCCAATGCGTTTTCTTCATATAAATTGCTTACTTTGGATGCCCAGTGTGTGAAAAGGGACATCGAGGCTGCTGGTATCATAATAAATAAAATAATATTAACGGTATATCGCTCACCACTTGGAAATTTCGAGGTGTTTCTTGATAAATTAGATAATATTTTATCGAAATTAAATCTAAATAAGAATATAATACTGACAGGTGATTTTAATGTTCATTTTCATGTGTGTACTGGGGATTCCGTTCGGTTATGCAGCCTCTGTGAATCCTATGGTGTCAGACGAGTAAACTTTGAGGCCACTCGCAACCGCACGTATCTAAACAATATATTCAGAAATCTGATCATGTCTGATCATCTGGCAATTTCATTTTATTCTAAAATTCAAAATGAAATTCACATACCAAAAACCAGATTTAAACATAGACCTTTAACTACACAAGGATTGTATCAGTTTTATAATTGTGTTCAAAACATTGATTTTTCTTTTGTTAATGATAATCAATGCGTGAATGAAATATTCTGTAAGTTCACGCGATTACATAAACATTAAACAAAACTGAACGAATCCAATAAGTTATGATTTACAATTACCCATACGAACCTTGTTTACTTGTTTCTACCGGTTTCTGCTTATTTCCAAAAATCGTATCTTTATTCTGAGCTAGCTCATTCGCTTATATCACGTGTTCCTTCGCGTAACGAAACTTCTGGATGAAGTGAATTTAGTAAATTGTGCAATTTGGTAAGTAAAATACTGTTTTGTTTTACCTGTTACAAAAACTATTAAACAGTTGTAGATTTATATTGGAGCTGAGATAATTTTTGATAAAATAAGTTTTGTTCTTCAAAGTGCTCAACTTTGCTTGTTTTTTTTTTAACATGTCTATTAATATTTTAGTAGGATACTTAAATTGAGGTGCATTGATGACAATAACTTTTGCTAGGTATTTTAAGTTGTTGATAATAATGATTTGATCATTAACATATGATAATCTCTCTTCCGAAGATTTTGGCCATGCTTGGAAAGCTTGCAGACAATTAAGGTTTACAGACCTTAAAACGGTAACCTCAACATCAGAATTACTTGAAAAATGGCCATTTTATAAAAGGCCATATGAGTTCAGTTTGATATAAACAATATCTCTTTCGTAATTATACCAGAAAAGCTTACAACATGTTATTTTACAGATTAACATGGACGTTACGGCAGGGTTTGATACTAACCACGATAGTTTGTTAATGAATTGGAAGCAGAGGCGGCGCTACCGGGGGGTGCAAGGAGTGCACTGCACCTGGGCGCCGTTTAAAAGTAGTAAAAGCAGTATTTAGTGTTCCAGACGCTGTATTTAGACCTGTCGGAAGTATCTAGTCTTCAGAAAGCAGTATTTAGTCTTCTAGAAGCAGTATCTAGTCTTCAGAAAGCAGTATTTAGTCTTCTAGAAGCAGTATCTAGTCTTCTGCCAACGTTATGTATGTTTTCTCCAACAATATCTTATCTTTCTTTTGCAGTATTTAGACCTGTCAGTAGTATTTAGTCTTCAGAAAGCAGTATTTAGTCTCCACAAAGCAATTTCTTCACAACTTGTTTAAATTTATTTTGTTAATTCTAGATGGTGGCGTAACAGCCGCTATGTGGCTGCCCTAATACAACCTTTTGTGATGGCAATTGGCGAGAATATTTTTAAATTAAAGTTTAATGTTTTGAAGTTGCAATAAAACACCTATTTAGATATGTGTTGCAGTACAATAAAGCCTGAAAAATGAATTTGGTGTTTAATTGTCTGATTAGTATTACCTTATTTATGTTAGAAAATTACTGAATGTGAAAGGATAAAAGATACCCTGTGATCAACGAATTTCTTCAATGAAATCTCCTTCAATGATAAACCTTGGGCTTAATTTTGCAAACAATTCTTTGTATTATTGTTGAATCATTTTGTGACTTGCTGCACAGACTTTTTTATAACTTCTCCATAAGTATATGACATGCAGTTTGTCTTGCAGTTTATTGTGTCTTATTATTTCCAGTGAGAGCTGAACCTACAGACACTTGAGGATTGTCAGCTTTCTGTTATACCGGGAATTTCATATAACTCGCAATATATGAATGCAGTAACCATAGTTACGAAACTACTATGCACTTGCACTGTCCCACATAAAATGCAACATAGATTAATAGTACAAGTATTGGATAGTTTTGCAAAAGACGCACGCCTAAAGTGAATGTTTCTAGTTGTAGGTCTAGTGTTAGTTCTACTTTTAGTTTAATAAAAATATACCACAATCTAACGCTAAATAACAATTAAAACTAGAACTACAACAACTAGACCGAGAACTAGAAACATTTGGATTTATAGTAGACGCCACGAGAGCTGGCAGTAAATCATCATTTTCCGCTCTTACAAATGTCATACGTAGTTCACAAACCGCTAGAGAGTAATGTGTGTTAGAACGAGATAGCATTAGTTTAATATGTCTGCTGTACAATTCAAATGGCCACGTCGAAAAAGTACGTCTGTTCTTCTAAGGGATGTAACTCTATAATTATAACCTCAAATCGAAACGTCTTGTGAGCGTTGTCATGATTTAATTCATCTGTCAGTGTTTTAACACCAAACACCGTTTGCGTTTGCTAACGGAAAAATCATACGATTGATAAAATGGCGGTCGTTTACCAAACACGTTTGAAGTTAGCGTTGCGTTCACCAGAAATGTTGCCAACAGTTTGGTCTCCGTTTGCAAACGTTGACAGTTGGTGAACGCGCGCATTAATCATTAAATAATATCTTTGACAATGTTTAACATATAACCTCCATTACTAACATAACCTACATTTAAATGTATGTGGTGAAATAATCTAAGTCGTACGTCCATATCTTGATTCATACCATTTTTAAGCGATCTGTCACTGCCAGCTCTCGTGGTTTGTACTATAGCCGCACGTCTCTCAAGACGGCTAAATCCAAATGATTCTAGTTCTAGGTCTTGTATTAGTTCTAGTGAGAGTGTAAATCTAGAACTAACACTAGATCCAGAACTAGAAACATTCGGATTTAGCCGCACGTTTCTCAAGACGGCTAAATCCAAGTGATTCTAGTTGTAGGTCTTGTGTTAGTTCTAGTGATAGTGTAAAACCAGAACTAACACTAGACCTAGAACTAGAAACATTTGGATTTAGCTGCACGTCTCTCAAGATGGCTAAATCCAAATGATTCTAGTTCTAGGTCTTGTGTTAGTTCTAGTGAGAGTGCTAGTGTAAAACTAGAACTAACACTAGACCTAGAACTAGAAACATTTGGATTTAGCCGCACGCCTCTTAAGACGGCTAAAGCCAAATGATTCTAGTTCTAGGTCTTGTGTTAGTTCTAGTGAGAGTGCTAGTGCAAAACTAGAACTAACACAAGACCTAGCACTAGAATCATTCGGGTTTAGCCGTCTTGAGAGACGCACGGCTAAACCCGAATGTTTTTAGTTCTAGGTCTAGTGTTAGTTTTAGTTTTAATGCAATAAAAATATGCAACATAGTGATATCTTATCCTAACTAATGCTACCTACCACTGTCACTAGACCTAACATTAGATATAGAACTAGAAAGTATCAGAATTAGCCGCACGTCTCTCAAGAGAGGCTAAATCCAAATGATTCTAGTTCTAGGTCTTGTGTTAGTTCTAGTAAGAATGCTAATGTAAAACTAGAACTAACACTAGACCTAGAACTAGAAACATTTGGATTTAGCCGCACGTCTCTCAAGACGGCTAAATCCAAATGATTCTTGTTCTAGGTCTTGTGTTAGTTCTAGTAAGAGTGCTAGTGTAAAACTAGAACTAACACTAGACCTAGAACTGGAAACATTTGGATTTAGCCGCACGTCTCTCAAGACGGCTAAATCCAAATGATTCTAGTTCTAGGTCTTGTGTTAGTTCTAGTGAGAGTGCTAGTGTAAAACTAGAACTAACACTAGACCTAGAACTGGAAACATTTGGATTTAGCCGCACGTCTCTCAAGACGGCTAAATCCAAATGATTCTAGTTCTAGGTCTTGTGTTACTTCTAGTGATAGTGCTAGTGTAAAACTAGAACTAACACTAGACCTAGAACTAGAAACATTCAGGTTTAGCCGTGCGTCTGAAGACTAGTTCTAGTTTTGACGCAGTAAAAATATGCAACATAGTGATATTTTATGTTAAATAACGCTACCTAGAAGTAGAAACATTCAGGTTTAGCCGTACATCTTGTTTCTAAGATTCATCTATGATCCGGTATCAATAGTAGACTCATCTATTATCTTATAGGTGATAAGTTCTCTGATGTCAATGATTGATTTATTTTATTTTTGAATTAATTTACTTCTAATAACTCCTTGTGCACTATTTTTCTATAAATAGCACATCTCGCATCAACAAATCTAAAATTATCCCTGCAAACTTTATATTTATCAACTAAAAAACAAACCATTGTTTTATTAAAGTTAAATATACATAATTTTTATCAAAAATTTTTACAACAAAATGGAAATTTTCAAAACAGCCACCAACAACACAATTATTACACAACGCCACGTTTATTACCTTTCAAATGGATTTGTTTTTCCTTCAATAAAAATACCCTCATTTCAATGTCCATCTGTTTTTGTTTAATATCTAAATCGAGAATAGCAATTTTTTGCTTCTGCATTTCCAAATCTCGCTCGGCATGAATCATTTTGAATTCTTCCTGTTTCAACTGCATCCTCAAAATATCCAACTTAACTTTTGACTCGTCCTGTATAATTTCGTAGCGTTTCTGAATTTCTCTTAATTGTAACTCTTGAAGAAGTTTCTCGTGGGTTTTCGAGATTTTCTTGGGTATTTCGTTATCTGAACGGAGATCGCAAACTTTCTCTTCGACGTTCTTTCGAGATTTCATCGATTTATCTATCGTTGATAACGAAGCGTAGCTGGGAGTTTGGGAATTTTCTAGGTTTGGGTCGAATACTGTTACATCTTTGGAGATTTTTTCGGAAATGTCATGATTTTTTAACATGTTTTCATCGCTCCAATTTCCTTCTCCAATTTGTTCGTAAGATTTAAGATGGGGAAGACTTTTGTAATTTGACCACCACGATTTTAGTTGATAAATCGTTTTCTTAAAAAAAACATTAAGTTTTAAAAAAATAAATTATAGAAGTAACTTTTTTAACTTACATTCGTTGTTATATCGCATGAATTAAATTGTTTACAAATTCTTTGCCATGCTAAACGCTTTTTATACAAAGAATTCCCATCTCGTGCCGAAATTTCAATTAAATCTATTTCATTTTCAATCAGTTCTAATAAAATTTCTTTTTCGATTTTTGATAAATTTGGTCGTTTGGGTTCGCGTGAAAATACTTCTAAATCGTAGTTGTAGGTATCATCGTTTATAAAAACCTGCAAAATGTTGTTATTTTTGATATCTTGGAGATTTAACTTTAAAAACCTTGTGGGGTATAAACATTTCGTTTAAAATCGAATGGATTATTACAAAATAATTTCGTAAAAGTGATATAATCGTCCAAAAAGGGGACAACCAAAGCATTTTTTTATTGTTACTTGTTGGTTAATCTAAAAATTGATTTCTTTTTGATAAAATTGGCGCGACAAGAAAATTGACATAAAAAATTTGACTTATTTGATTTTCATTTCTAAATTTTATTCATTAAACATTTTATTTTTATATCTTTTTAAACATTGTTAAATACATTAAATCATTAATTTTTTAATTAATTTTAATTAAATAAATAATTTTTTTAAAATGCGCCATCTATGAGATAATTGTCAAAGTTTTAATATGTCATATTTTTAAATTTTAGGAATGTTTACTACATTTATAAGATAATAACGATTATAACACAAAATATATCATTTTTTAGTAAAATATATATAATTTTTTAGCTACCACTGTCACTAAAATTAACGTTAGACCCAGAACTAGAAACATTCACGTTTAGCCGTCTTAAGAGACACACGGCTAAACGGAATGTGTCAAGTTCTAGGTCTAGTTTAAGTTCTACTTTTCATTTAATAAAAATATACCACAATCTAACGTTAAATAACAATTAAAACTAGAACTAATACTAGACCGAGAACTAGAAACATTTGGATTTAGCCGCACGTCTCTCAAGACGGCTAAACCCGAATGATTCTAGTTCTAGAACTTCTAGGTTGGAAGCACTTTTCGGTATTTTAGAAGCAATTTCTTATTTTTGGAAGCAGGTTCTATCGTTTGGATGCACTTTCGGAAGCAATTTCTGTCTCTTGGAATCAGCCTCTAGTTTTTTGCAAACACTATTCACTACTTTGGAAGCAATTTCTGTCCCTTGAAATCAGTTTTTAGTCTTCTGTAAGCACTTTTCAGTATTTTGGAAGTAGTTCTAGTCGTTTGCAAGCAACTTACAGTATTTTGAAAGCAATTTCTATCTGTTCGGAGCACGTTTCAGTATTTTAGAAGCAGTTTCTTATTTTTGAAAGCAAGTTCTATCGTTTGGATGCAGTTTCTAGTCTTTTATAAGCACTATTCACTATTTTGGAAGCAGATTCTGTCTCTTGGAATCAGTTTCTAGTCTTCTGTAAGCACTTTTCAGTATTTTGGAAGCAGTTTCTAGTCTTTTGCAAGCACTTTTCAGTATTTTACAAGCAGTTGCTTATTTATGCAAGTAGTTTCTATCTTTTGAAAGCAGTTTCTAGTCTTCTGTGACCACCTTTCAGTATTTTGAAGCAGTTTCTAGTCTTTTGCAAGTATTATTCACTATTTAGGAAGCAATTTCTGTCTCTTGGAATCAGTTTCTAGTCTTCTGCAAGCACTTTTCAGTATTGTAGAAGCAGTTTCTTATTTTTGGAAGTAGTTTCTAGTTTTCTGTAAGCACCTTTCAGTATTTTGAAGCAGTTTCTAGTCTTTTGCAAGCACTATTCACTATTTTGAAAGCAATTTCTGTCTCTTGGAATCAGTTTCTAGTCTTCTGCAAGCACTTCTCAGTATTTTAGAAGCAGTTTCTTATTTTTGGAAGTAGTTTCTATCTTTTAAAAGCAGTTTCTAGCCTTCTGTAAGCACCTTTCAGTATTTTGAAGCAGTTTCTAGTCTTTTGCAAGCACTATTCACTATTTTGGAAGCAATTTCTGTCCCTTGGAACCAGTTTTTAGTTTTCTGCTAGCATTTTTCAGTATTTTAGAAGCAGTTTCTTATTTTTGGAAGTAGTTTCTATCTTTTGAAAGCAGTTTCTAGTCTTCTGTAAGCACCTTTCAGTATTCTGAAGCAGTTTATAGTCTTTTGCAAGCACTATTCACTATTTTGGAAGCAATTTCTGTTGCTTGGAACCAGTTTCTAGACTTCTGCAAGCACTTTTCAGTATTTTAGAAGCAGTTTCTTATTTTTGGAAGTAGTTTCTATATTTTGAAAGCAGTTTCTAGTGTTCTGTAAGCACCTTTTAGTGTTCTGTAAGCACCTTTTAGTATTTTGAAGCAGTTGCTAGTCTTTTGCAAGCACTATTCACTATTTTGGAACCAATTTCTGTCTCTTGGAATCAGTTTCTAGTCTTCTATAAAGACTTTTCTGTATTTCGGAAGCACTGTCTAATCTTTTACAAGCAGTTATCAGAGATTGTTAGCTAGACCAGAGTATTATTGCTTATTATCTCCGTAAAACATTGCGAAAAATTGTGAGAGATTAGCATAAACTTTTACAAATTCTGAAAAGTTCCAGAAAGTACAGAATCAGTTCTAAGTGTTTAGACAACATTGAGATTCCGGTTAGAAATGTCAACGTCAATTTTGACATATTTGTAATTGTCATGAAAAACCCTTTAAAATGAGCCCAAACATGATACGTTTAATTCCAATATTACTCGAGATATAAGCAACTTCCGGTTTGAAATGTCAATGTCATTTTGACAAATTTTTTATTTTTATACAATGTCTTAAAATTTATCACAAAAACAAAAATAAAATAAAAAATTAAGGTTGGTATTAATATTTAATAGTTAAATTACTATCTTCATTGTTGCTAACTTCGGGTTTAACGTTTTTTTATTCAAATTTTGTTGTTTTTTAAAATAAGTGCGTCATCTTTGGACTCATTTTAAAGGTTTTTTAATGAAGGTGACAAATATGTCAAAATTTACGTTGACGTTTCAAATCGGAAGTGATTGTATTTCCATTAATATTAAAGTTAAATATGTCGAGTTTGGACTCATTTTAAAGGATTTTTTATGAAGTTGACAAATATGTCAAAATTAAAAGTTGAAAGTTCGAACTTTTTGGTTTTTTGAGATAAATGCGTCAAGTTTGGACTCACTTTAAAGGTTATTTTATGAAGATTACGAATATAATAATAAAATTAAAGTTGACATTGACAACTGAAAGTTTTTTTCATGACTAAACCCGACTGTTGCTAGTTCTAGGTCTTGTATTAGTTCTTGTGATAGTGACAGTGTAAAACTAGAACTAACACTAAGTTTTCAGACTTTTCTAAGTTCTTGTCTAAGACGCCCGGCTAAACCTAAAACTTTCTAGTTCTAGGTCTAGTGTTAGTTCTAGTTTTAATTGTTATTTAACCTTAAATTCTTGTACGTTTTAATTGATCTAAAAAAAAATTTTTTATATAATCCACTTACCTTGCTTATAATTTCATCCATTTACCCATTTTGAATTAAATACAACCTTTAAATCCAATTGATTGTGTTTTTCATTAAAAAAACTTAAATTAAACGTCAATTTTGACAAGCAACTGCAATATTTCGATCTTAATCACCATGGTAACCGAGTCAAGTTGGATAACCTTAAAATAATAAAATTTTATTTCGATTTTTTACAAGCTAACCTAATTTTTATTAATTTTAAAACAATTCGAATTCTTTACGATTATCACGCATATATTTTTTTAATATCTTTATATTTTTGTGTATTGCTTCTTAAATGAAATACACTGTATAAATAAAAAGATTGTGTTTTGTTTTTGTGATAAGTATATATATTACTTTTATATCTTTTTAAACATTGTTAAATACATTATATCATTAATTTTTTAATAAATTTTAATTAAAATAAATATTTTTTTAAATGCGCCATCTATGAGATAATTGTTAAAGTTTTAGTTTGTCATATTTTTAAATTTATTTTAAATTCATTTTTACCACATTTATAAGATAATAACAACAATAATAACACAAAATATATCAATTTGTAGTAAAATATATATAATTTAATCTTATTTATTTGGTTTTTAATAAATATTTCTATCTCCGATCAATAGTGCCATCTTACGGATTAAATTTGAATTAATTCATATAAGTAAACAATTTTCCCAAAATGAATTTAAATAAGTAATTTAAAATTCGTATTAAATAAATATTAATGAAACTGTGTTAATTATTAGTTAGAATTTAAATCCTACTTTATCGATATTATAAAATATGTTGTCGAAATTAGTTGATGTAGCCACCGCACCGCGTCGTTCCGGCGTAATGAAGCCTCTTTTTTAGGTTATGTTTGAAATACGTTGCTGCCTGTCAATTTCTTGGTGAATAAGTGGGAAAAAACGGCGTCGTTAAGCTTTCGTTTTATTTAAGTGAAAACCCGAACGATTTTCTAAATATCGACGATGGGAACGCGCGTTTTCGTCGGCGGATTAACGTACAGGGTGCGTGAGCGCGACGTGGAGAAGTTCTTTAGAAAATATGGACGCATTAAGGAGGTTGCCATGAAGAACGGCTACGCTTTCGTCGATTTCGATGATTATAGGGACGCCGATGATGCCGTTTATGAATTAAATGGTAAAGAATTATTAGGGGAACGTGTTTCTGTTGAAAAAGCGAGGGGTACACCGAGAGGGTCTGATCAATGGAGAGGTAATGGACGAGGATATGGACCTCCGAGAGGAAGATATCGCGATAGGGACTCCGATAGGTAAAGAATTATTTAAATATACGTGTGGTTTTGATATTAATTTAATTTGTGTTTAGATATGGACCACCAACCCGAACAGAACATCGTTTAATAGTTGAAAATTTAAGTACACGAGTAAGTTGGCAAGATTTGAAAGATTATATGCGCCAAGCTGGTGAAGTAACATACGCAGATGCTCACAAGTTGAGACGTAACGAAGGTGTGGTAGAATTTGCCTCTTACTCGGATATGAAGAATGCAATCGAAAAATTGGACGCAACCGAATTAAATGGACGTAGGATTAGGTTGGTCGAGGATAGGAGGCGTGGGGGAAAACGTTCGCGGTCTTCGAGTCGTAGCAGATCCAGGTCTAAGCAACGCTCTCGTTCCCGATCCAAGTCGAGGAGTCGTTCGAAATCGCGTGGACATTCGAAAAGTAAATCTCCGGCTCGATCTAAATCGCGTTCGCGGTCCCGTTCGAATCCTAAACGATCATCACGATCCCGCTCCATTTCCAATCATAAGCAAATGTCCAAGGATCGTTCGCATTCCAGGTCGGCGAGTAAAGATAGACGCAGTAAATCTAACAGCCGATCTTGAACCAAAAGAAAATAATAATAATAACGAAGGATAAGAAGGAAAAATACGAAATAGTTTTTTTTTTGTTGCTTTGATAATTTTTTTGTAATATTACTTTCTTTTATTGATTTAAATTGTTTAGTTATAGAATTCCACTGATACATTCAGAAATGAAATTTGATATATGATAATATACAATGTATATAACGATATGAAAAATGAAACTTTAAAATTGGAGGTCTAATTTTTGGGATTTGGTCTGTGGCTTCGATTTCGTTTCTTACTGTATTTTTTTTTTTATTTTAAATGTGCTCATGAAGATTCTGATTTAGCTTTTTTTTTCTGGATTCCCTCCTCCTCCTCCACCATAGGATTAAATTAAAAAAAATAAAAACTGTAGAGTTAAACGAGATGTGTCAAATAAGTTTCAGGCTAAAAAATAAGTCTTTTTCAAAGTGGGCGATAACGCCCTCTTGTGGGCACTAGCGGCATACAGGGAGGCAGTAAAGGGCGCACAGCGTTAGGAAGTTATGAATATCTGGCCAAAAATCTAATTACTACTAAATGAAGTTGAAAATGTTTAAGGTGGCGATTCGAACCTATGGGATTCGTAAAATTGATAAAAAAAATCGGTTTAGTTTCGCCAATGATTAAGAGATGTCGCACTATACTCCATTTCAATAAAGTCCCTAGATTTACAAAATACCGCGGCAAGGTCCGTTGAGTAAACATACTGTATAAAAAGGTGCGTTGAATAAACGTACTGTATAACGTTATCCAACTCCATATGAACGCTGTTTTTATGAACGTATCCCCGCAAAGGCCTCGCTGTGACGTCATTGGAAGAATTGACNATAAATTCATTAAATGAGATGATTCAATCTGTTTAATTTAGATCAGTCTTTTTCAAAGTGGGCGATAACGCCCTCTTGTGGGCACTAGCGGCATACAGGGAGGCAATAAAAAGCGCACAATGTTAGGAAGTTATGAATATCTGGCCAAAAATTTAATTACAACTAAATGAGGTTGAAAATATTTAAGGTGGCGATTCGAACCTTTTGGGTACTTAAAATTGATAAAAAAAATCGGTTTAGTTTCGCCAATGATTAAGAGATGTCGCACTATACTCCATTTCAATAAAGTCCCTATATTTACAAAATACCGCGGCAAGGTCCGTTGAGTAAACATACTACTGTATAAAAAGGTGCATTGAATAAACGTACTGTATAACGTTATCCAACTCCATATGAACGCTGTTTTTATGAACGTATCCCCGCAAAGGCCTCGCTGTGACGTCATTGGAAGAATTGACATCTCTATGTTTTTATTTATACAGTGTATTTCACTTAAGAAGCAATATACAAAAATATAAAAAAAGCGATAAAATAAAATTAAAAAAATATTAAAATATAAAGCGAAATATTAACGGTTATAATTTTATTATTGTTAGGTTATCCAACTTGACTCGGTTACCATGGTGATTAAGATCCAAATATTGCAGGTGCTTGTCAAAATTGAAATTGAATTTAAGTTTTTTTAAAGAAAAAGTCTTATTTAATTGGTTTAAAAGGCTGTATTTAACTCAAAATTGGCTTATCTAGGGTATTATAAACAAGGTAAGTGGATTAAATCAAAAAAAATATTTTTAACTTATTTCTCTTAATTAATCGATTTAAAGTAACGAATTTGTTATGAATGCGAGATAATCGTAAAGAATTCAAATTGTTTCAAAATTAATGAAAATTATGTTAGAGTTGATAAAAAAATCGGAATAAAATTTTATTATTTTAAGGTTATCCAACTTGACTCGGTTACCATGGTGATTAAGATCAAAATATTGCAGTTGCTTGTCAAAAATAACGGTGAATTTATGTTTTTTTAATGAAAAACACATAACTAATTGGATTTAAAGGTTGTATTTAATTCAAAATGGGTAAATGGATGAAATTATAAGCAAGGTAAGTGGATTAAATGAAACAAAATTTTTTAGATCAATTAAAATGTACAAGAATTTAGGGTTAAATAACAATTAAACCTAAAACTAACACTAACACTAAAATCATTCGGGTTTAGCCGTCTTGAGAGACGTGGGACTAAATCCGAAATCATAAAATCTCCTTTAAAATTAGTCCAAACTCGACATATTTAACTTTAATATTAATAGAAATCACTTCCGGTTTGAAACGTCAATTTTGACATATTTGTCATCTTCGTTAAAAAACCTTTAAAATGAGTCCAAAGTGACGTACTTATCTCAAAAAGCAGAAAAGTTAGAATAAAAAACATTAAACCCAAAGTTAACAATAATAAATAATAAAGATAGTAATTTAATTTTTAAATGTTAATACCAACCTTAATTTTTGATTTTTTTTTATTATATTTTTGTTTTTGTGACAAATATTAAGACATTTTATAAAAATTAAGAATATGTCAAAATCATATTGACATTAAAAACCGGAAGTTGCTTATATCGCGATTAATACTGGAATTAAACGTATCATGTTTGGGCTCATTTTAAAGGATTTTTCAAGACAATTACAAATATGTCAAAATTGACGTTAACAATGGTGTTTCTTGTATACGATGTATGTATGAGTTTAAAGCAGCATGTTTGTGTATATGGTGGTGAAAGGAGTCTGCAGGTATTACTGTGTCTGGTTGAGTAGGTTTCCTGTATATGTTGTATTGAATCTTATTTCCAACTTTTTTCAGAGTAAGATCTAAGAAATTGATGGATTCATTCTTTTCAATTTCTATAGTGAAGTTGATTTTGTTATGGAAAGTATTGACGTGTTGTAGAAGTTCACTGATGTTGTTGGGCGATGAGTTATCCCAGAGAATCAAGATGTCATCAACATATCTTTTCCATAGTAAAATGTATTTGTTGAATGGATCAATAGGTTCAAGTAGCGACGTTTCTAGTTGGTCTATGAAGAAATCTGCTAGTAGCCCGCTAAGTGGTGAACCCATTGGGAGTCCGTCATTGTATTTAAACATTTCTCCATTTAATTGGCAAAAATTAAGTTCGGTGCAGTGTTTTATTAATTTAAATAATTGTTCGGTGTTGGTTGTATTGAGACGGGTTTTCAGGTAATTGTGAACTATGATTAAGGTTTCGTGGATAGGTATGTTGGTATAGAGATTAGTGATATCAAATGAGATCATTTGAAAGTTATGAGGGAGGTTGATATTAGAAATTGTTTCTACTAGCTCTTTTCTATTTTTGATTGTGTTAGCAGGTTTATATTGTAACTGTCTGGTAATAGAGAGATTGATGAATCTGGCGATTTTCTGAGTACTTGAACTGACATATGTGATTATGGGGCGAATAGGATGGTTTTGTTTATGTAATTTTATGATTGAATATAGCATAGGAATTCTAGGGTTGATCGGTATAATTGTTAAAACTTTCGATTTACATCTGTTTCAATACATCATTCTATTTCATTTCACAGTCCATTAATTATATATCAAAATTTGACATTTTATTTTATGAACGTTTAAAATCTTATAGACTCCTGACAATGGTCTAGGCCGAAACCGGTAGAGTTAATAAATTTATAAAATATATTGGAGTATAAACATTGTTTATTTTTAAAAAACACACAAATGAAAGTTGTTCTGTGCGAAATGGGATATGATGATCAAATTATTTGATCTTAACCTTATTTCCAAGGTTATATGAAGGTCACGACCAATATTTTAACACGTTGACTGCCGCAATAGTCACTGAAAGTATATCCATTCTGGCCTGAACAATTTAAAAATTAAATAGACATGAGAATCAACTGATGCTTCTCATGGCTATTGTGGAAATTTTGCCGTGCTTCAAAACTTCTCACTTCTCATGACAGTCAACGTGTTAAATGGCTGTGGATAAAACGTTCGCGGTCTTCGAGTCGTAGCAGATCTAGGTCTAAGCAACGTAGTGTTAGTTCTAGTTTTACACTAGCACTATCACTAGAACTAACACAAGACCTAGAACTAGAAACAGTCGGGTTTAGTCGTGAAAAAAACTTTCAATTGTCAATGTCAACTTTAATTTTATTATTATATTCGTAATCTTCATAAATTAACCTTTAAAATGAGTCCAAACTCGACATATTTAACTTTAATATTAATGGAAATACACTCACTTCCGGTTTGAAACGTCAACGTCAATTTTGACATATTTGTCATCTTCATTAAAAAACCTTTAAAATGAGTTCAAAGATGAAGCTTATTTTAAAAAACAAAGAAGTTTGAATAAAAAAACGTTAAACCCGAAGTTAGCAACAATGAAGATAGCAATTTAATTTTTAAATATTGATACCAACCTTAATTTTTTATTTTTTTTTTTATTATATTTTTGTTTTTGTGACAAATATTAAGACATTTTATGAAAATTAAGAATATGTCAAAATGACATTGACATTTCAAATCGGAAGTTGCTTATATCTCGAGTAATATTGGAATTAAACGTATCATGTTTGGACTCATTTTAAAGGATTTTTCACGACGATTACAAATATGTCAAAATTGACGTTGACATTTTTAACCGGAAGTTGACCATAACTTCATTAATATTGAAGATAAATATGTCGTGTTTGTACTCATTTTAAAGGATTTTTAATGAAGATTACAAATATGTCAAAATTGAGGTTGACATTTTAAACCTGAAGTTAGTTATCATATAATAGACAAATGGACAACTTCATGGTGTTCTTTCATGATGTATTCTTTATTAAAAAAACCTTTAAAATGTGTCCAAACATGACGCATTTATCTCAAAAAACCAAAAAGTTCGAACTTTCAACTTTTAATTTTGACATATTTGTCAACTTCATAAAAAATCCTTTAAAATGAGTCCAAACTCGACATATTTAACTTTAATATTAATGGAAATACAATCACTTCCGGTTTGAAACGTCAACGTCAATTTTGACATATTTGTCATCTTCATTAAAAAACCTTTAAAATGAGTCCAAAGATGACGCACTTATCTCAAAAAACAAAAAAGTTAGAATAAAAAACATTAAACCCGAAGTTAGCAACAATGAAGATAGCAATTTAATTTTTAAATATTAATACCAACCTTAATTTTTTATTTTTTTTTTATTATATTTTTGTTTTTGTGACAAATATTAAGACATTTTATAAAAATTAAGAATATGTCAAAATGACATTGACATTTCAAACCGGAAGTTGCTTATATCTCGAGTAATATTGGAATTAAACGTATCATGTTTGGACTCATTTTAAAGGATTTTTCACGACGATTACAAATATGTCAACATTGACGTTGACATTCTTAACCGGAAGTTGACCATAACTTCATTAATATTGGAGATAAATATGTCGTGTTTGTACTCATTTTAAAGGATTTTTATCACCACGTTGAAATGCACCCAAAAGAATGCGCTATAATATTTGAATTAAGGTATAAAAATTAAAATCAAAATCGATCTACTATACAGGGTCATCCACAACGACAGCCCATTAGAATTATACAGGTGTTCCGGATCAGAGCATTATACCGTTGAAGGATACATTATTCTGAAGGGATTTTTCTAATAAAATTTTTTCGAAATGTTTATAATCGCATAGGAACTGTTTAAAAATGTCCAATAGCGAATTCACGGAAAAAGTTTATTTCTCTCTCCGTGTCGAATCTATTGGTGGCCGATTACCTGTGTTTGATTTACGATCTGCTATTGGACGATTTTAAACAGTTCCCGTACGGTTATTATTAAAGTGCGGATTTCTAGCGATTATGCTATAAGTAATTTTTGATGGTAGAACAAATTTTAACCATATACAGGTGTTTCAGGTGTTTGTAGCAAGACTTTAACAGTCGATAGATCTTTTAAAATTAGCATAATATAAACATAGGTCGACAAACGCTTTGTTTTAAAGATACAGGGTGTTTGATTTAAATTTTTTAATTGATTTTTATTTTATATTACACGTGTATTTTAACCGATTCTTTTCTAATTTGGTATACGGAGATTTTCTGGCATGAGAAAGACTATTATGGGGTCTGTTTTACTAAAGCCGGTAGAGGGCGCTCCGTAACGTATTCTTTACCGATTAAAATAACAATAACTTTTTAAATGTAAAAAAATTGATAGTTTAAACATATATGGCGCAATTAAGCGAACGACAAACAATCTAAATATTAATGATGTATGGGTACGGTGATAGAAAACGCACTCAAAGTGAAGTTTGTACATTGTCAATCAAAATTCAGAAAATGCACCACGATTAATAAAGGATCTTGTATTTGAAACATATTTCTTTAAAACCACAAATGGCGAAGTTATTGGCAATATTCCAGACATTTGACACACCCTGTATGTATGTACAGGGTGTCCAAATTTCGATGGGTTTGCAGGGTATCTCAGTTATTATGAAAGATAGAAAGATGCGGCTTTCGCGAACCTGGGCTACTTTTTTGTGAAACTTACAATGGCGCAAAGCCAATTTTCATAGCCCTCTTTGTTTTTGATATATAGGGAGTGTTTCAAAATTTACATGGCTATCCGGAAACTTAGATTAGAATCTCTGATTTACATTAAACCTTAATTAAGAGAATTATTCAAAAATTTTAATTTAGTTAATTATTTTAGTTCCAGTTTTGAATAAGAGAAGTCGCTAAAACAATTTAAAATAAAACTCAAATTATTTATAATAATTATTATTGATTACCAAACAATTTTACATTTTTATACACAATGTTTAAAATAATATCAATAAAATTAACTTAAACATTAATGATAACCAAATGTTTTCTGTTACATTTTTTAAATATTTCTTAATTATTAATTTATTGCTAATACATATTAAAAATTAAGGGGATAAACATTAAAAGAAATGTGCAGATTAATCAATATTAATATCGTTACCCTTATAACTGGAATAAATTTGTGCATACTTTATAATATTTGCATACAGATACGGAGTTTAGAAGAAAACTATTTACCCAAAATGAACCGCACCCAAAAATATCACAGCTAACAAATACTAAAAAAAATATTATTTACACACCCCTATATTGAAACTTTATTAATATAAAATAAAATTTTTAAAAACAATTTTAAGCGAGGTTCCTCTATTAATTCAAATAAATCCAATTTAATTAAATTAATTCATATTTTAAGATCTCAATCCCATTCCATTAATCATTATATTAGCTAAAGCATTCCGCCTTTTCCTCCATGCTCCCATACCTTGGGCGTAATATTGTAAATGTCTGTACCAAATTTTAGTTTGATCCTCATCATTAGCCTACAAAAAAAAATTAATTACAAGATTGAAAAATTTTTAATTTATAATTCTTTTTTACTTTAAATATAAAAGTGTCCTTCCCAAGCAGTTCCTGCACTTCAAAGTAACTTTGCCATGCGGGGTCGGCCGCAATAACGCATCGATCTAGGTAAAGTGGCTCTCTTAGTAGAGAGTACCGACCATTTTTATCCCGCACAAGAAGTAGGGCGGCCTCTCTAACACCTGAATGACGTGAAAATATCAAACCGTCTTCGGATGGATCAGTTCTGGTTGATGAATTGGACGATATCTAAAAGAAAAGAATTTTTAAAATTATTATTTACATGAAGAACAATGTTGGATTAAGGTTAATAAAAGAAATGTAAGAAAAATGATATCATTAGTCTAAATCGAATTAATTTTGGAATTTCGAAATACTTCTACAAGAAGAAGAGAAAGTTATTCAAAAGAATGTGCAGTTTGATCAAAAAAGACATAAAATTGTCACGTTTAGAGATATTTTTTCTGTCAGGTTCTTTTCGTGGTATTCCCCGATTTAATAATAACACAGTTTTGTTTTCGGACATTAGAAACATTTAATTCGTGAAGAAATTCTACCTCGAATATTGCGCAAAATTGGTACAATATGGGTTTGATGTAATATTAAGACCAAGGATTTATAGATTTAATATGAAGATTGATTGTGGCTCAGAATATACCAGGTGATTCAGACCACCCGTACAAGGGATTTTTCTCAAAAACGCGATTACCTAAGAAGTTGCAATAAAAAATATGATAATAAAATCGTATATGAAGAATCCAATGCACCAGTTTTTATCACGCTGGTAACCGGAAGTTAGTGGTAATGACGTCAACTTAAAAATTTTCCAAGTTGTCATATGAATTAAGTTTTATCGTAGAATAGATATTTTAAAAATAAACCATTTTTTTGTAATTCGCGACGGTACCGGAAGCTCTAACAGTACTCAAACGGGTGCTGTAATGAGACTCCTTACAGCATCCGATGCTGTAATGAGATTTTAGTAACATTTTATGGAACCAGTTCAAGTTGGTGACATTGGGTCATTAATTTTTCTAGTTGTCAATGTGACAATTTTAGTCTATTGATGTTTAAACACGTTCTTAGCATCGAATACAAGGTCCACAATGATGAGGACATTGAACACTGAGCAATTTCACTTATTTTGGGAGGTGTACATGAAACATTTTTTTCAGGTGAATACATTTTGTGTTTTGACAGTTTCTAATTGTCAATCATTGTCAATTCAAATTTCTATTTTCAAGTGTTACGGTGTTACCAACTGCTGCATACCTATTTCCCTACATTGTCAAAATTTATTTTATTTTTGTTAAAAGAAAAGGATAAAAACGCGAATTACAAAAAATAGCATAAAAACACGTTTCATAAGACTTAAAGCACTCATTCATTAAAAAACTCGTGTGTTCGTTATACTATTACTTTAACTCTTCGTAGATTTAATGCAACGTTTAAGTGCTATTGATGATTACAATATTCTTTTCATATTTTTTCGTATATGAAAATTTTTAAGTTGATGTCATTACCACCAACTTTCGGTGTTGCCAGCGTGATAAAAACTGGTACATTGGATTCTTCATATACGATTTTATAATCATATTTTTTATTGCAACTTCTTAGGTAATTGCGTTTTTGAGAAAAATCCCTGGTACGGGTGGTCTGAATCACCCGGTATAGTATTACGACCCAGGTACTTTCTAGTTTCCTAAGTAGAAATATTATTCTTTGTTGAAAACGATAACTTCGATAATTTAGTCATTTAGGTTGGCAATGGTTATGGATGTGTGAAAATTTTTTATAAATCTATGTTTTTGATTAGTTAAGAATAATTTTTGCCCATAACAAGTTCTTAGGTTGCCAATAATCCATCATGGATTGAAATGGTTTATGAATTATACTTATTGGGTTAATAAAGAATGTTTTTTGTTCATAACAAATTTCTCCATTCTTTTTAGTTTCCTTATTGCAACATTATTCTTTGTGAGAAACGATAATTTTGGCAATTCTGCCATTTTAAGTCTTTTACGTTGGCTATAATTATGGATGAATGGAAATTTTTTACAAACTATCTTTTTGAGCCAGTTAAGAACAATTTTTGCTCATAACAAGCTTTTCAATTTTATCCAATACTTGAATTACAACAGTATTTGATGAAAAAACGTCAATTTTAAGCATTTTTGAAATTCTAAGCCTTTTAGTTTACCAATAATCCATAATGGATTGGAATGGTTTATGAATTATACTTATTGGATTAATAAGGAATGTTTTTTATCTATAACAAATTTTTCCATTCTTTGTAGTTTCCTAGCTGCAAAATTATTCTTTGTTAGAAACGATAATTTTGGCAATTTTGCCATTTTATGTCCTTTACGTTGGCCATAATTATGGATGAGTGAAAATTTTTCATAAACTATCTTTTTGACATAGTTAAGAAAAATTTTTGCCCATAACAAGTTCTTCAATTTTATGCAATACTTGAGTTATAATGGTATTTGATGATAAAGATATCAACTTTAAGCTGTTTTGGAATTCTAAGCCTTTTAGGTTGCCAATAATCNAATTTTTCATAAACTATCTTTTTGACATAGTTAAGAAAAATTTTTGCCCATAACAATTCAATTTTATGCAATACTTGAGTTATAATGGTATTTGATGATAAAGATATCAACTTTAAGCTGTTTTGGAATTCTAAGCCTTTTAGGTTGCCAATAATCTATAATGGATGAAAATGGTTTCTGAATTATACTTATTGGGTTAATAAAGAATGTTTTTCGTCCATAACAAATTTCTCCTTTCTTCCTACCTTCCTTATTGCAATGTTATTCCTTGTTAAAAACGATAACTTTGGTAGTTTTGTCATTTTAAGTTGGCAATAATTATGGATGAATGATTTTTTTTTATAAATTATCTTTTTGAGATGGTTAAGAATAATTTTTGCCCATAACAAGTTTTTCAATTTTATCCAATACTTGAGTTATAACGGTATTTGATGATGAAGATGTCAACTTTGAGCTGTTTTGAAATTCTAAACCTCTTAGATTGCCAATAATCCATAATGGATTGAAATGGTTTATAAATTATACTTATTAGGTTAATAAAGAATGTTTTTCGTCCATAACAAATTTCTCTATTCTTTGTTGTTTCCTAGCTGCAACATTATTCTTTGTTAGAAATGATAATTTTGGAAATTTTGCCATTTTAAGTCTTTTACGTTGGCCATAATTATGGATGAGTGAAAATATTTACAAACTATCTTTTTGAGTTCGTTAAGATTATTTTTTGATCATAACAAGTTCTTCAATTTTATCCAAGACTTGAATTATAACGGTATTTGATGAAAAGACGTCAATTTTAAGCTTTTTTGGAATTTTAAGTCTTTTACTTTTCCAATAATCCATAATGGATTGAAATGGTTTATGAATTATACTTATTAGGTTAATAAGGAATGCTTTTTATCTACAAGAAATTTTTCCATTCTTTGTAGTTTCCTAGCTACAACATTATTCTTTGTTAGAAACGATAATTTGGCGATTTTTCCATTTTAAGTCTTTAACTTTGGCCATAATTATGGATGAATGAAAATTTTTTACAAACTATCTTTTTGAGTCACTTAAGCATAATTTTTGCCCATAACAAGTTTTTCAATTTGATCCAATACTTGAATTATAATGGTATTTGATGAAAAAACGTCAATTTTAAGCTTTTTTGAGATTCTAAAGCTCTTAGGTTGTCAATAATCCATAATGGATTAAAGTGGTTTATGAATTATACTTATTGGGTTAATAAGAAATGTTTTTTATCTATAACAAATTTTTCCATTCTTTGTAGTTTCCTAGCTGCAACGTTATTCTTTGTTAGAAACGATAATTTTGGCGATTTTTCCATTTTAAGAGTTTAACTTTGGCCATAATTATGGAGGAATGAAAAATTTTTACAAACTATCTTTTTGAGTCACTTAAGAATAATTTTTGCCCATAACAAGTTTTTTAATTTTATCCAAGACTTGAATTATAACGGTATTTGATGATGAAGATGTCAATTTTAAGCTTTTTTGAAATTCTAAGCCTTTTACTTTTCCAATAATCCATAATGGATTGAAATGGTTTATGAATTATACTTATTAGGTTAATAAGGAATGTTTTTTATCTATAACAAATTGTTCCAATCTTTGTAGTTTCCTGGCTGCAACATTATTCTTTGTTAGAAACGATAATTTTGGCAATTTTGCCATTTTAAGTCTTTAACTTTGGCCATAATTATGGATGAATGAAAATTTTGTACAAACTATCTTTTTGAGTTAATTAAGAATAATTTTTGCCCAGAACAAGTTCTTCAATTTTATGCAAGACTTGTATTATAACGTTATTTGACGAAAAGACGTCAATTTTAAGTTTTTTTGAAATTCTTTTATTTTGCCAATAAACCATAATGGATTGAAATGGTTTATGAATTATACTTATTAGGTTAATAAGGAAAGTTTTTTATCTATAACAAATTTTTCCATTCTTTGTAGTTTCCTAGCTGCAACATTATTCTTTGTTAGAAATGATAATTTTGGCAATTTTGCCATTTTAAGTCTTTTACGTTGGCCACAATTATGGATGAGTGAAAATGTTTCATAAACTATCTTTTTGAGATAGTTAAGAATAATTCTTGCCCATACAAGTTCTTCAATTTTATCCAATACTTAAGTTATAACGGTATTTGATGATGAAGACGTAAACTTTAAGCTTTTTTTGAAATTCCAAGCATTTTATTTTGCCAATAATCCATAATGGCTTGAAATGGTTTATGGATTATACTTATTGGGTTAATAAGGAATGTTTTTTATCCATAACAATTTTTTCCATTCTTTGTAGTTTCCTAGCTGCAATATTATTCTTTGTTAGAAATGATAATTTTGGCAATTTTGCCATTTTAAGTCTTTTACGTTGGCCACAATTATGGATGAGTGAAAATTTTTCATAAACTATCTTTTTGAGATAGTTAAGAACAATTTTTGACCATAACAAGTACTTCAATTTTATCCAATACTTGAGTTATAACGATATTTGTTGATGAAGACAACAACTTTAAGCTTTTTTGAGATTCTAAACCTCTTAGGTTGTCAATAATCCATAATGGATTAAAGTGGTTTATGAATTATACTTATTGGGTTAATAAGAAATGTTTTTTATCTATAACAAATTTTTCCATTCTTTGTAGTTTCCTAGCTGCAACATTATTCTTTGTTAGAAACGATAATTTTGGCGATTTTTCCATTTTAAGAGTTTAACTTTGGCCATAATTATGGAGGAATGAAAAATTTTTACAAACTATCTTTTTGAGTCACTTAAGAATAATTTTTGCCCATAACAAGTTTTTCAATTTTATCCAAGACTTGAATTATAATGGTATTTGATGCAAAGATGTCAATATTAAGCTTTTTTTGAAATTCTAAGCCTTTTACTTTTCTAATAATCCATAATGGATTGAAATGGCAATTTTTCCATTTTAAGTCTTTAATTTTGGCCATAATTATGGATGAATGAAAATTTTTTACAAACTAACTTTTTGAGTCAGTTAAGAATAATTTTTGCCCATAACAAGTTTTTCAATTTTATCCAAGACTTGAATTATAACGGTGTTTGATGAAAAGACGTCAATTTTAAGCTTTTTTGAAATTCTAAGCCTTTTACTTTTCCATAAAATAATCCATAATGGATTGGAATGGTTTATGAATTATACTTATTGGATTAATAAGAAATGTTTTTATCTATAACAAATTTTTCCATTCTTTGTAGTTTCCTAGCTGCAACATTATTCTTTGTTAGAAACGATAATTTTGGCGATTTTTCCATTTTAAGTCTTTAATTTTGGCCATAATTATGGATGAATGAAAATTTTTTATAAACTATCTTTTTGAGTCAGTTAAGAATAATTTTTGCCCATAACAAGTTTTTCAATTTTATCCAATACTTGAGTTATAATGGTATTTGATGATAAAAATATCAACTTTAAGCTTTTTTGGAATTCTAAGTCTTTTAGGTTGCGAATAATTCATAATGGATGAAAATGGATTATGAATTATACTTATTGGGTTAATAAAGAATGTTTTTCGTTCATAACAAATTTCTCCATTCTTTTTAGTTTCCTTATTGCAATGTTATTCCTTGTTAAAAACGATAACTTTGGCAGTTTTTCTATTTTAAGTCTTTTACGTTGGCAATAATTATGGGTGAATGATTTTTTTTATAAATTATCTTTTTGAGTTAATTAAGAATAATTTTTGTCCATAACAAGTTCTTCAATTTTATCCAAAACTTTAAGCTTTTTTGAGATTCTAAACCTCTTAGGTTGCCAATAATCCATAATGGATTAAAATGGTTTATGAATTATACTTATTGGGTTAATAAGAAATGTTTTTTATCTATAACAAATTTTTCCATTCTTTGTAGTTTCCTAGCAGCAACATTATTCTTTGTTAGAAACGATAATTTTGGCACTTTTGCCATTTTAAGGGCCGGTTGTACAATATAACGATAAACTTCCCGACAGCGTTATCTGGCAGATAAGTTAGTTTGTACTGTATTACAATGCACGGATATTTTTGTCGGTGAGATTATCGACAGGATAACTTATCGGGTACTCAGCGGTGCCGATAAGACACTTATCCGCCAGATATTTCTGGTTACCAAGGTTTTTATATAAAAACTTTGTATGGTTACTGCATAGGTAAACCTATAACATTAAAGTTAATATATGTACGATGACAGTTGTCTGTCGTGAAAATTTTTTTTAAATAATTATTCAAAATTATAATTCAAACTTCAAAGAAAGACGTTAGCGTTACCATTCTACGGCATAAATCACTAGATATGGGAAAAAATTACTACCAACCGACTCTTATTTCGCCGATAGCAATCCTACCGATAAAAACAGTTTGTACAACAGCGAATATCCTTATCCTCCTGATAAGTTTATCGGCCGGATAGATATCAGGTAGATTTATCGGTATATTGTACAACCGGCCCTTGTCTTTTACGTTGGCCATAATTATGGATGAGTGAAAATTTATTGCAAACTATCTTTTTCAGTTAGTTGAGAATAATTTTTGCCCATAACAAGTTTTTCAATTTTATCCAAGACTTGAATTATAACGATATTTGATGAAAACGTCAATTTTAAGCTTTCTTGAAATTCTAAGCCTTCTACTTTTCCAATAACCCATAATGGATTGAAATGGTTAATAAATTATACTTATTGAGTTAATAAAGAATGTTTTTCGTCCATAACAAATTTCTTCTTTCTTCCTACTTTCCTTATTGCAATGTTATTCTTTGTTAAAAACGAAAACTTTGGTAGTTTTGCTATTTTAAGTCTTGTAAGTTGGCAATAATTATGGACGAATGATTTTTTTATAAATTATCTTTTTGCGTTAATTACGAATAATTTTTGTCCATAACAAGTTCTTCAGTTGTATCCAATATTTGAGTTATAACCGTATTTGATGATGAAGACAACAACTTTAAAGCTTTTTTGAGATTCTAAACTTCTTAGGTTGCCAATAATCCATAATGGATTGAAATGGTTTATGAATTATACTTATTGGGTTAATAAGGAATAATTTTTATCTACAACAATTTTTTCCAATCTTTGTAGTTTCCTAGCTACAACATTATTCTTTGTTAGAAACTATAATTTTGGCGATTTTTCCATTTTAAGTCTTTTACGTTGGCCATAATTATGGATGAATGAAAATTTTTTACAAACTATCTTTTTGAGTTAGTTAAGCATAATTTTTGTCCATAACAAGTTCTTCAATTTTATTCAAGACTTGAATTATAACGTTATTTGATGAAAAGACGTCAATTTTAAGTTTTTTTGAAATTCTAAGCCTTTTATTTTTCCAATAAACCATAATGGATTGAAATGGTTTATGAATTATACTTATTAGGTTAATAAGGAATGTTTTTTATCTATAACAAATTTTTCCATTCTTTGTAGTTTCCTAGCTGCAACATTATTCTTTGTTAGAAATGATAATTTTGGCAATTTTGCCATTTTAAGTCTTTTACGTTGGCCACAATTATGGATGAGTGAAAATTTTTCATAAACTATCTTTTTGAGATAGTTAAGAACAATTTTTGACCATAACAAGTACTTTAATTTTATCCAATACTTGAGTTATAACGATATTTGTTGATGAAGACAACAACTTTAAGCTTTTTTGAGATTCTAAACCTCTTAGGTTGTCAATAATCCATAATGGATTAAAGTGGTTTATGAATTATACTTATTGGGTTAATAAGGAATGATTTTTATCTAAAACAAATTGTTCCAATCTTTGTAGTTTGCTAGCTGCAACATTATTCTTTGTTAGAAACGATAATTTGGCGATTTTTCCATTTTAAGTCTTTAACTTTGGCCATAATTATGGATGAATAAAAATTTTGTACTAACTATCTTTTTGAGTCAGTTAAGACTAATTTTTGCCCATAACAAGTTCTTCAATTTTATCCAAGACTTGAATTATGACGGTATTTGATGAAAATACGTCAACTTTAAGCTTTTTTGAAATTCTAAGTTTTTTACTTTTCCAATAGTCCATAATGGATTGAAATGGTTTATGAATTATACTTATTGGGTTAATGAGGAATATTTTTTATCTATAACAATTTTTTCCATTCCTTGTAGTTTCCTAGCTGCAACATTATTCTTTGTGAGAAACGATAATTTTGACAATTTTGTCATTTTAAGTCTTTAACATTGGCCATAATTATGGATGAATGAAAATTTTTTACAAACTATCTTTTTGGGTCAGTTAAGAATAATTTTTGCCCATAACAAATTCTTCAATTTTATCAACACTTGAGTTATAACGGTATTGGATGATGAAGACGTCAACTTTAAGTTTTTTTGAAATTCCAAGCATTTTATTTTGCCAATAATCCATAATGGATTGAAATGGTTTATGAATTATACTTTTTGGGTTAATAAAGAATATTTTTTATCTATAACAATTTTTTCCATTCTTTGTTGCTTCCTAGCTTTTGAAAGAAATAATTTCGACAATTTTGCCATTTTAAGTATTTTACGTTGGCCATAATATAATTTCCATTTCTTTGCAAAATAGCTTTTCCTGGAATGTTTGTAAATTAGAGGTCTTCCACATCATCTTTAAGACAGCTAATATGCAAAATTAGCTTTATTTTTCTTGAATTTTTCTAAATTTCGAGATGATCAGAAACTCTGATCAAACTAATTGAATCTGCATCGTATTGCTGATCATTTATAGCAGCAAATATGGAATAAAAACAATTTCTGTCATTTGATATATTTCTGGAAACCCAGTTTCTTTTAAATTTTTCCAAATTTTAACTTGAGCAGAATTTCTGATTAATTTAGATTAAGCTGTATCGTATTCCTCATCATCTGAAGTAGCAAATACGGAAAGAAAAGAAGTTTTGCAATTTCTTTCAAAGCCGTTCTCACTGGAATTTTTGCAAATTTCGGGTTGAATGGAATTTTTGACCAATTTAGTTTGATCTGCATCATATTTTTGTTAAAATATAGCAGCAAAGTTGGAAAGAAAATAATTCTGGAATTTTTGCAAATTTTAGGTTGAGCAGAATTTCTGATTAATCTAGTTTTTTAGTAGCATGGATGAATGCTAATTATATCAACTTTTTTCAATGACAATTTGCCAACCTAAATTTGAAATATTTAAACATCACGCAAGCATATTTAGTTTCATAAAGGAAATTATTACAACAAATTTATTTTTTAATTTCTTACCTTTCCATTAGTTACCAATAAAGCATTAACAGGTGTTAATTTAATAGTCCTCCCCTTTCTCCAATTATTATCCGTCGGTTGCGTGAACAACAATTTTCCTTCAAGCGCAAATTTGGCTTCCTCATGATTCCACTCCAAAACGTCAACGGCAATTTTCCTCAACTTAATATTAACCAAATCCATCTCGGAACTGCTTCTCCTCCCGTTATTATTACTAATTCTCCGCCACAATTTACTGGGTACATCTTTAGTTTCCGAATTCATATGATTCAGGTGCAATTCGATTTTGTGTTGGGCCTCCTTTAATTGCTCCCGCGTTTCGTGATGAACCGAGGTAACCTTGTATAATCTGGCCAGTAAAAGTGGGTATTTTGTGACTCTTTGAACCGGAACCATTAAAAACGAGTTAAGATTCATTCGTCTTAACACGGTGTTTTCCATCTGTGAGACTCTCAAGAATATCCTGAGAAGTTCTTTTTCTTTTTCTAACGATGCTAGTAATAAGCTGGCGGCTCCTTGTCTTACGCAATAAGTTTCGAATGCGTGTAACATTGGAGCTGCTTCAAGAATTAATTTTCCGATGTTTACCGTAAGGAGATCTTCGTCGCCTTGTTCGATGGCGATTTCGACGGCATCGCGAAGTCTTTCGGCTAATGCTTGGCTGTTCTCTAACAATTCTTCGACATTTAAGAAGATCGCAGACAACTGTTCGGAAGTTAATAACCCGGCAACCAACATTGGTTGATAAAATTCTTCTAAAATAATTTGTAAATCCCTACTATATTTTTCTTCAGTTTCAACAATTTCGCTTATAATCTCTTTGCGTTCGGAACGCTTTTTTAAACATTTTCTACAAATCAACGGTTCATTTTCAGTTTGATTTTCAACGGGGCTATCACAATCTTCGCATGTTACGCTTAATTCTTGTTTCGTTCTGTATTTACTTAAAGAACTTTTACTGGTTTCGGAACCCACGCCAGAATCATTTCTTTCAACTTCCACGGATCTTTGGACTTTATCTTCAACGGTTGGAAGAACCAAAGAACATTCTTCACTTGAATCGCTTACAGTACTCAGTTGGGATACTCTGTTGTAAGGTTCTGAGTTATCTTTTCCATCTTCTTCGATTACGATTCCGGAGTTATTAAAGTTGTAGGTGTAACTATCTTCGGGGATAATTCCGCGTTCTTTGGCGTCAACTAGATAACTTAGTATATCGTATTTGGATGCTCCTTCAAAAATTGACCTAATACAAAAAAAAATTTAATTAAAAACAAATATATGATAAGATTTAATTGATTGCGTAATAATAAGCTATATTCATTAGTACTCTTTGTCCATTAATGGTTGAGAGCAATGTTATTTTTGCAAATTTTGTGTTGAGCAGAATGTCTGACCAATTAAATTTGATGCAATATACATTTCTCATAATCTATGGTAACAAATACGGCAAGAAAATCATTTTTGTCTTTTACCATTTCTTTGCAAAACGTTTTTTTCGGGAATTATTATAAATTTCATATTGAGCACAATTTCTGACCAATTAAATTTGATCTATATCGCATTCCTCATAATCTATAGTAACAAATACGAAAAGAAAATCATTTTTGCCTTTTACCATTTCCTTGCAAAATGGTTTTTTCACGAATTATTGCAAATTTCGTATTGAGCAGAAATTCTGACCAATTAAATTTGATCTATATCGCATTTCTCATAATGTATAGTAACAAATACGGAAAGAAAATCATTTTTGCTTTTTACCATTTCTTAGCAAAATGTCTTTTTCAGGAATTATTGCAAATTTCGTGCTGAGTAGAATTTCTGACCAATTAAATTTGATCAATATGGCATTTCTCATAATCTATAGTAACAAATACGAAAAGAAAATCATTTTTGCCTTTTGCAATTTCTTTGTAAAATATTTTTTTCATGAATTATTACAAATTTCGTGTTGAGCAGAATTTCTGACCAATTAAATTTGATCTATATCGCATTCCTCATAATCTATAGTAACTAATACGAAAAGAAAATCATTTTTGTCTTTTACCATTTCTTCGCAAAACGTTTTTTTCAGGAATTATTATAAATTTCATATTGAGCACAATTTCTGACCAATTAAATTTGATCTATATCGCATTCCTCATAATTTATAGTAACAAATACGAAAAGAAAATCATTTTTGCCTTTTACCATTTCTTTGCAAAATGGTTTTTCAGGAATTAATACAAATTTCGTGTTGAGCAGAATTTCTGACCAATTAAATTTGATCTGTATCGCATTCCTCATAATCTTTAGTAAGAAATACGAAAAGAAAATCATTTTTGCTTTTTACCATTTCTTAGCAAAATAGTTTTTTCAGATATTTTTGCAAATTTCAGGTTGAACAGAATTTTTAACCAATTAAATTTGATCTATATCGCATTCCTCATAATCTATAGTACCAAATCCGGAAAAAAAATCATTTTTGCCTTTTGCAGTTTCTTTGTAAAATATTTTTTTCATGAGTTATTACAAATTTCGTGTTGAGCAGAATTTCTGACCAATTAAATTTGATCTATATCGCATTCCTCATAATCTATAGTAACAAATACGAAAAGAAAACCATCTTTGCCTATTAGTATTTCTTTGCAAAATGTTCTTTTCAGATATTTTTGCAAATTTTAGGTTGAGCAGAATTTCTAATCAATTAAATTTGATCTATATCGCATTCCTCATAATCTATAGTAACAAATACGAAAAGAAAACCATCTTTGCCTATTAGTATTTCTTTGCAAAATGTTCTTTTCAGATATTTTTGCAAATTTTAGGTTGAGCAGAATTTCTAATCAATTAAATTTGATCTATATCGCATTCCTCATAATCTATAGTAACAAATACGAAAAGAAAACCATCTTTGCCTATTAGTATTTCTTTGCAAAATGTTCTTTTCAGATATTTTTGCAAATTTTAGGTTGAGCAGAATTTCTAATCAATTAAATTTGATCTATATCGCATTCCTCATAATCTATAGTAACAAATACGAAAAGAAAACCATCTTTGCCTATTAGTATTTCTTTGCAAAATGTTCTTTTCAGATATTTTTGCAAATTTTAGGTTGAGCAGAATTTCTAATCAATTAAATTTGATCTATATCGCATTCCTCATAATCTATAGTAACAAATACGAAAAGAAAACCATCTTTGCCTATTAGTATTTCTTTGCAAAATGTTCTTTTCAGATATTTTTGCAAATTTTAGGTTGAGCAGAATTTCTAATCAATTAAATTTGATCTATATCGCATTCCTCATAATCTATAGTAACAAATACGAAAAGAAAACCATCTTTGCCTATTAGTATTTCTTTGCAAAATGTTCTTTTCAGATATTTTTGCAAATTTTAGGTTGAGCAGAATTTCTAATCAATTAAATTTGATCTATATCGCATTCCTCATAATCTATAGTAACAAATACGAAAAGAAAACCATCTTTGCCTATTAGTATTTCTTTGCAAAATGTTCTTTTCAGATATTTTTGCAAATTTTAGGTTGAGCAGAATTTCTAATCAATTAAATTTGATCTATATCGCATTCCTCATAATCTATAGTAACAAATACGAAAAGAAAACCATCTTTGCCTATTAGTATTTCTTTGCAAAATGTTCTTTTCAGATATTTTTGCAAATTTTAGGTTGAGCAGAATTTCTAATCAATTAAATTTGATCTATATCGCATTCCTCATAATCTATAGTAACAAATACGAAAAGAAAACCATCTTTGCCTATTAGTATTTCTTTGCAAAATGTTCTTTTCAGATATTTTTGCAAATTTTAGGTTGAGCAGAATTTCTAATCAATTAAATTTGATCTATATCGCATTCCTCATAATCTATAGTAACAAATACGAAAAGAAAACCATCTTTGCCTATTAGTATTTCTTTGCAAAATGTTCTTTTCAGATATTTTTGCAAATTTTAGGTTGAGCAGAATTTCTAATCAATTAAATTTGATCTATATCGCATTCCTCATAATCTATAGTAACAAATACGAAAAGAAAACCATCTTTGCCTATTAGTATTTCTTTGCAAAATGTTCTTTTCAGATATTTTTGCAAATTTTAGGTTGAGCAGAATTTCTAATCAATTAAATTTGATCTATATCGCATTCCTCATAATCTATAGTAACAAATACGAAAAGAAAACCATCTTTGCCTATTAGTATTTCTTTGCAAAATGTTCTTTTCAGATATTTTTGCAAATTTTAGGTTGAGCAGAATTTCTAATCAATTAAATTTGATCTATATCGCATTCCTCATAATCTATAGTAACAAATACGAAAAGAAAACCATCTTTGCCTATTAGTATTTCTTTGCAAAATGTTCTTTTCAGATATTTTTGCAAATTTTAGGTTGAGCAGAATTTCTAATCAATTAAATTTGATCTATATCGCATTCCTCATAATCTATAGTAACAAATACGAAAAGAAAACCATCTTTGCCTATTAGTATTTCTTTGCAAAATGTTCTTTTCAGATATTTTTGCAAATTTTAGGTTGAGCAGAATTTCTAATCAATTAAATTTGATCTATATCGCATTCCTCATAATCTATAGTAACAAATACGAAAAGAAAACCATCTTTGCCTATTAGTATTTCTTTGCAAAATGTTCTTTTCAGATATTTTTGCAAATTTTAGGTTGAGCAGAATTTCTAATCAATTAAATTTGATCTATATCGCATTCCTCATAATCTATAGTAACAAATACGAAAAGAAAACCATCTTTGCCTATTAGTATTTCTTTGCAAAATGTTCTTTTCAGATATTTTTGCAAATTTTAGGTTGAGCAGAATTTCTAATCAATTAAATTTGATCTATATCGCATTCCTCATAATCTATAGTAACAAATACGAAAAGAAAACCATCTTTGCCTATTAGTATTTCTTTGCAAAATGTTCTTTTCAGATATTTTTGCAAATTTTAGGTTGAGCAGAATTTCTAATCAATTAAATTTGATCTATATCGCATTCCTCATAATCTATAGTAACAAATACGAAAAGAAAACCATCTTTGCCTATTAGTATTTCTTTGCAAAATGTTCTTTTCAGATATTTTTGCAAATTTTAGGTTGAGCAGAATTTCTAATCAATTAAATTTGATCTATATCGCATTCCTCATAATCTATAGTAACAAATACGAAAAGAAAACCATCTTTGCCTATTAGTATTTCTTTGCAAAATGTTCTTTTCAGATATTTTTGCAAATTTTAGGTTGAGCAGAATTTCTAATCAATTAAATTTGATCTATATCGCATTCCTCATAATCTATAGTAACAAATACGAAAAGAAAACCATCTTTGCCTATTAGTATTTCTTTGCAAAATGTTCTTTTCAGATATTTTTGCAAATTTTAGGTTGAGCAGAATTTCTAATCAATTAAATTTGATCTATATCGCATTCCTCATAATCTATAGTAACAAATACGAAAAGAAAACCATCTTTGCCTATTAGTATTTCTTTGCAAAATGTTCTTTTCAGATATTTTTGCAAATTTTAGGTTGAGCAGAATTTCTAATCAAATAAATTTGGTCTATATCGCATTCCTCATAATCTATAGTAACAAATACGAAAAGAAAACCATCTTTGCCTATTACTATTTCTTTGCAAAATTTTCTTTTCAGATATTTTTGCAAATTTCAGTTTGAGCAGAATTTCTAACCAATTAAATTTGATCTATATCGCATTCCTCATAATCTATAGTAACACATACGAAAAGAAAACCATCTTTGCCTAGTAGCATTTCTTTGCAAAATGTTTTTTTCAAGAATTATTACAAATTTCGTGTTAAGCAGAATTTCTGACCAATTAAATTTGATCTACATTGCGTTCCTCATAATCTATAGTAACAAATACGGAATGAAAATCGTTTTTGCTTTTTACTATTTCTTGACAAAATAGTTTTTTCATATATTTTTGCAAATTTCAGGTTGAGCAGAATTTCTAAGCAATTAAATTTGATCTATATCGCATTACTCATAATCTATAGTAACAAATAATGAGAAGAAAATCATTTTTGTCTTTAACCATTTCTTTACAAAATGGTTTTTTCAAGAATTATTGCAAATTTCAGGTTGAGCAGAATTTCTAACCAATTAAATTTGATCTATATCGCATTCCTCATAATCTATACTAACAAATACGGATAGAAAATCATTTTTGCTTTTTACCATTTCTTTGGAAAATAGTTTTTTCAGATATTTTTGCAAATTTCAGGTTGAA